TCCATTTTTCTCCCAGAGCATTAAAAGTGATTTTTCCATCCATTATTTTGTCCTTACTGTGACTGGATCTAATTTAGATGTCAGCTACATTCATTTATGAGCCCTCAATTCATTAAGCCATCAAGATAAACAGATGGTGCTTTGCACTCAGTATGAGGGCAAAATGACTTGGAGAGCCTGGAGATCAGTCAATAAAAACCTATTACCAGAAGAGACACATATTTCTTAGTGAATTAGCAGACTGTAAAAACAACCCTAAATCGTTGCTGGGAGAGACAGAGTGGGAGAAAGCAGAGAGGCCATCAGTATCCAAGGCAGTGGAGAAGAAGAGAAGGGGTTCTTTTCAGAAGTGTGTAAATGGTGGGTGATCAAGAGAATTAAAAAGGCACAGGAGCCCACAGGCAGCCAGTGTCACTGAACTCAGGTACTCACCTCTGCAGAGACAGAGCCTGAGTCATTCGACCAGTATTTCCTGGAGACCACCATCAGGCGCAGTGGGCGAAAATGTAACAGAGGTTTTGCTGCCAGGGTGCTTGTAACTTAATGTCCATACACAACCACAGTACTCAGCACCTTACCAAGTGTCAGGAACCAGCCAGGGAGTCCAGGTAGAAAATCATGTTTATCAATTAAAAAGTGCAGCCAGTGTGGCTCAGCAGTTGAGTATCGACCCATGCACCAAGAGGTCGCAGGTTCGATTCCCGGTCAGGACACATGCCCAGGTGGTGGGCCTGATTCCCAGTGGGCGACATACAGGAGGTGGCCAATCAATGTTCTCTCTCATCAATGTTTCCATCTCTCTCTCCTTCTCCCTTCCTTTCTCTAAAATCAATAAAGAAAAAAAAATTTTTTAATAAAAAAAAAAAATCATGTTTATCATTCCTGGTGGAAAGAGCTATTTGGGGTAAACAGAAAGTGTTTGCTTCCAGTAATCAATTCTGTTTCTGTATAATCTAGTCCCATACCTGTACAAATACACATTATAAAAATAGGTCAATCTTTTTAGTTCTATTGATTATAAAAGATTAAAAATTTTCTAATTTTAAAAATCAGGATATAAACCACATAAAACTAAAGATTAAAAAGACCAAAATCTGCCTATTCATTCTCTACGGAAAGGCATTTAATAACAAAATATATGGGATATAAAAGTATATAAGTTTTTTTAAAAAAATGTTTTTATTATTATTATTTTTTTTAGAGGGAGAGGGAAAGATAGAAAAATCGATGAGAGAGAAACATTGATTGGCTGCCTCCTGCATGCTCCCTACTGAAGATTGAGCCAAGGAATCAAATTGGTGACCTCTTGGTGCATGGGACAATGCTCAATCCATTGAGCCACACTGGCCAGGCAAAAATATATAAATTTTTAAGAAGACATGGTTGTTCTGTTAATCCCAAAACTAAATATCTTCAAAACAAGGAGAAGAGGTAGAAAAGCATCAGCTATGTTAGAGTTCTGTGCCCACCACCCCATGTGCTCATCTCCCCTGCTCCCCCAACCCCCCCCCCCACACACACACACACAAATAACTAAGAGGAAGAACACAAAGGAACTTTGAGCACCTGCAATGAATCCAAGATCCATTTTTCAGTGACAACCTCAGAGCTTTTTGTTTGAAAACATTGTCGGTGAAAACAGTCAAGCCTAAACTGATACAACTGTATTTCCTTATTTGATCTGCTGAAGTGCTTTCCTGTATAAATGATCCTCTCAATATCAGTGCATTGGGTAAATCTGGGCCAGACTGGTCAGAGCACAGTATTATGAGTATAAAGTACTGTGAGAGTAAAGTCTCATCTCTGCCATAAATCTTCCCCTAGATCTTTGTAGGGCTGGCCATCATCATTCAGTTCTCTGTTCACGTGTCACTGGTGGGATGCAGACAAGAGGAAACAGCAGCAGGGATCTGCCAGGTTTCATGTTCGGTTAATGGGATGGACAGCAGTTCCACCAACCAAGTCGGGGAGTTTAGGAAAAATTGCCAGCTTATGGGGTGTCCAGAGCAGGGGGAAGAAGAGAAGAGAGATGATTCATTTCACTTATGGACACTTTATGGAATCTGTGGAACACCAAGGTATAGATGTCCAACACACACGTGAATGTACAGGGTGGGGCAAAAGCATGTTTACAGTTGTTTATATGGAAAATACTACAATAATTAATAAATAATAATTTAAGAATAAACTGTGTCATGTACTCACAACCTTAAACCTACTTTTGCTCCACCCTGTATATTTTTGGAGCTCAGTCAAGAAATATGGCAGAGAAAAACAGGAAATATGGCAGAGAGAGAGAAGAGAACATCAGTAGACAGATGAGAGTAAAAAACCAGAAGGGTACATGAGATCACCCCAAAAGAAGAGAAGGGAATACAAAGGAAACAGAATAAGCATAGAACCCTGGAAAACACTAATATTTAAGGGGCAGAGGAAGTGAATTCAGTGACAATAAGGAAGAAAGAATGACCAGATTGGAGGGAGAATCAAAAGAAAGGTATCAAAGGAAGATTCATGCTGTTAAATAAGATAGAGTTGGGTGTTTGTTTGTTTGTTAATCCTCACCCAAGGAAATTTTTTCATTGTTTTTTTTTTTTCAATCCTCACCCGAGGACATTTTTCCATTTTTGTTGTTGTTGTTGTTCAGATAGAGTGGGAGGGAGAGAGAGAGAGAAACATCGACGAGAAAGGGACACATCGAGTGGTTGCCACCTGCACAACCCAACCAGGGCCAGGGACAAACTGCAACCGAGGTACGTGCCCTTAGCGGGAACCGAACCTGGGTCTCTCTCTACCGCAGGCTGACGCTCTAACTGCTGAGCAAAACCACCCAGGGCTCATTGGTTTTTAGATAGAGTAGAAAGGAGGGAGGGGAGAGAGAAACATCAATGTGAGAGAGACACATCGATTGGTTGCCTCCCACACATGTACCAACCCCGGGGCCAGGGATCAAACCTGCAACCCAGGTACATGCCCTTGACAGGGAATCTAACCCATGAACCTTCGATCCTTGGGCTTAGGCTCTAACCAATGAGCCAAACCGACCAGGGTAAAAAGCCAAATAATTAAAGTCTGAACCAATTATGGCACAAAGGAGAATGGAATAATACATGTATATTTGCTACCAATTATGTCTATATTATGAAAGATGTAATAGTTTGGCAGTTGTCACTATTGTTTTTTTGTAACATATGGAATAAAGTGTAGCAGAATAATCTCCATTAAAAAGCCTGCATCATCGGGCTCTGGCTGATTTGGCTCAGCAGTTAGAGCATTGGCCCCAAAGACCGAAGGGTCTCAAGTTTGATTCCCAGTCAAGGGCACATACCTGAGTTACAGTTCAATCCCCGGCCCCAGTTCGGGTTGTGCAGGAGGCAACCAATCCATGTGTCTCTCTCACATTGATGTTTCTCTCTTTCTCCCTCTCTTCCTTTCACTCTCTCTCTAAAAAAAAAACCTCAAAGAAAAAACACCTGCGGGTGAGAATTAACCACAACAAAACTGAATTATCTGTCTATTTCAGATATTTATCATCATCATTTACCAAGCCTTTGGTTTCTACATACTTATCAGAAAAAAAACTCCTTTCTCACACAAACAGGGCAGGGTCTGGCTCTTTCCCCACAATGTGTGGCACAGGAATTTTTAAAGCAACAGCTAAAACTGCATGCCTGGCACTGAGCTAACACCCTACATGCATTTCCTTATTAAACATCACTACTATTATCACCATTTTACAAATAGAGAAAGTGATTTTGAAAGGTCAACCCAAGGTCATGGGTAGTATGTGGTGAACCTGAGACTCAGGTCTGCCTGAGCCAACTCTCCTTCCCTAGAAATCAGCAAATTAGCTAACATTATTTTGATTTGTATAAATCCCCTTCAGGAATGAATATGCTGTGGTCACTGCTGCAGTTAACCTTTGTATTTCCAGAATAAAGAGACTTAATAACTTCTGGTTTACCTTCATAGTTAAGTGTGTCCGGCCATTTTATCGTTTTAATTATCTTAAATGAGTCCCTGATTATCCCTACTTACCTTTGAAGTCCTCCAGGTACTGCATTTCACATTACTGGGCTGCCACTTAACTCAAAAACAGTGTTCAGGGAAGACACTGGCACGAACCAAACAAAACATGAGCTCCTGCAAGGAGCTCAACGAATACCAAGAAAGGTATGGGGTTTTTCATTTCTCCAACATAGCGTGAAGGTTACCCGCATGCGCCTTAACTCAATTATGAGACCAAAGAGTTTCGAGATCCTGAGCCCGTGGCACTTAGTTGCCAACGGTATGACAGCGCCCGTGGCAACCTGCGTGGTTTTGTGGTTATACTGAGATTCTAAATTGAGTCACAGATGTAGTCCCCCCCTTTGTCACTGATACTTTGCATCAATTCGCCCAATGGTTACTGGATGTCTCTTTACCAATAAATTAGGGCCCCTGTCCCTGGAAGGTCACTGTCCCAGGGGCAGCCTCTGACACTCTTCCCACGGAGAAACCTCCCCCGATCTGAGAGACTGATTAATGAATGACTGCTCCCCACTGGAGTGGAAGTTCCACCAAGGCTCCACCGGAGGTACGACAGCGCGTGTTCGTGACGGATTCCGCCCCACCGCCGTCGGCGTCCCCCTTCACCGCGGCCTCCCAAGGACTGGCTGCGACCGAAGGGCCGCATCCCCAGCACCGCCCGGCTGCGCTCCGCACACGGCGTTCGCACGGCTCACTGCCGCCCCCCAGGGAGAAAGGGCGAGAGAAATCCGCAGCACCGCGGGGCCGGGAGCCAGCGGGCCCGGAGCGCCCTCGCACAGAGCCCACACGCCGAGCGCTCAGCTCTGACGAAATCCCCAAGCCAGAGCCCGGGGCTCGGAGCCGCGGCGCAGCGTCCTAGCCAATCGGTGACCCGCTCCGGGCCGCTCCACCCACCGCGCACACGCACGCACCCACCGGGCAGGCACCGACCTCCTGATTGGCTGGAGCCGGCTGTGGGCGGGGCGGGAGAAGCTGACCCGACGGCGCGCGCGGGCGGGGTCCAGAGCTGGTTGGGGTTTGAGAAGTCCTGTTGTTTCCCGTAAGTGAAGTGTGAATAGGCACTGGGAGTGGGGGACGCCCGACCTGGGGCGGGAGGACGTGGGGTCGCGTTGGCTGGGCCGAGAGCACCTCGGGAAAGGGGGGCCACGAGGCTGGGAGCGGGGCGAGGCCTAGGGTGAAGGGGACGAGGTGTAGTTGGTGGGGCTCTGGCTGGACCGCGTGGTTCATAGAGGTTGGGGGTCCAGAGACAAGGCCTGGCGCCCTGTCGGGGGAGGGGACACGGCGCCAACGCGGAGATGAGGCAAACGCTTGTGCAGTGAAACGTGGCGGAGAGGGAAGACTCACGGACGGGACAGTAATGAATGACACGTAGAGGGCCGGGGGGCGCAGCGGACCCGGCGCGCGGAGGCTTGAGAGCGGGGCCGGGCGGTGGGTGAGGAGGGATCGGGAGGCCGAGCGCTCCGGCCATGGAGTCCTGACAAGGTCACAGGAAGAGAAAGGGGAGGAAGGTGGAAAGGTTGAGGGGAGGGCGTAAACCACATGACCTTCCAGTCCCCGCTCCCCCTTCTTCCCGACCCCGTGTTTCCTCCCACCCTCGGCGACCCTCTCCTGCCCCAGGAAGGTGACGCCGCAGGTCTCAAGCATCTGTGACGGAATTTACACCTCTTCCGGTTCGAGATTACAAAACAGAGCCTGGGTTTAGAAATGGGAGCAGCCCAAACGACTCGGCAGTGTTGCTCGCCCTTCTCTTTTTATTACCGGTGTGGAAGCATCTCTTTCCCTTTTCAGGGTAATCCCTACCAAAGGCACGTTCGAGCAGGACCGGTTGGGATGAAAAGTTGTGACAGGTTGAAGGAACAGGGCCCAGCATGACGAACCTGTTTGAGTCCTGTGTACCAGGGCTTCTTTTAACTTCCGTGTGCACCAGAGCCCGGCCGGGGAGGGTTCTGCAGACGCACACTCCTGGGGCCCTGCTCCAGACCCTCTGAGTCAGAATCTTCAGGCTGGGGCCTTGGCAGCCATTTTTAAACAAGCCTGCAGGTGACTGATGTAAAATCAAAATTTGAGATCATTGCTGTTAAATGGTGGTTCCTGAGACCAAAATGACAGGCTGTGACGGTCCTTAAGCCTGTTGCATCACCTGATGCCGGGCAGCTCATCTTCCTTTCTGCCTGTTTAGGTTCCTTTGCATTTGGAAAGGTTTTCAGTTATTTGCATCTTAACTCGGTGTACAGAATAATTCGTGGTTTTTTATGCTGGCTCTGAATATCTGGTTACTGGTGCTTCTCTTTTGCACCTGTTCAACTTTTGTTCCATTGCCTCTTGGACATTTGTAGTGACTCAGATGTTAGAGTGTAGAGGAAAAACTACCTACTTTCTTGTTTTTAAAGACAGTTCCTAAATGACTTCTTAGTTTAGGAATATGTAAAGGCAAAGGAAGAAAACACGATTTTATATCTGCAAAAGAAGGTGCTAGATTTTTTTTTTTTTTTTTTAATCCTCACCAGAGGATATTTTTCCATTTATCTTTAGATAGAGTGGGAGGGAGAGAGAGAGAGAGAAAAAACAACATGAAAGGGACACATCCGTTGGTTGCTTCCCACACACCCAAACCAGGGCCAGGAACTAACTGCAACCCAGGTACAATCCCTTGAGTGGAATGGAACCTGCAACTCACTGGTCCCAGGGCTGCCGCTCTAACTGCTGAGCCAAACCGGCCAGGGCAAATGTGCTAGATTTTAAAAGTGGATTGTGATATATAACAGTTTTGTCTCTTGTGGTTGTAAGAAACCAAGACTTACTGAGGTTATCATTTCTTCTTTTATAGACAAAACATAAGAATTAAAAAACAAATAAGCACTTAAGTATATATGATTTGGCAGTCTTCTTACCAATTAAACTCTACAATGTGTGTAATTGTTATTTTTTCACTAAATATTCCTAAATAAATTACCTGAGAATAATTTTAGTTGTTGAAAAATATTACTTTTAAATTTATTCAACATTTTGTGGTGTACTACTACATGTAGAGCATTGTGCCAGGCAATGGAGATAGATAAAAGCAGAGCAGGTTGTAGCCTCCGGACTTAAAGGATTCTAGCAAGAGAAACAATTAAATAGGCATTTATAAGAAAGTTATGATAGAGAAAACATAACATTTTATGGGACTGCATAACCAAAACACTTTTCATAAACTTAAAAAATCAAAGAAGACCTTCTAGAGGAGGTCAATTAAGATAAGAACCTGAAAAGTGGGAGGTGTTAGCCAGGAAAGAGAGTATATGAAGGAGATGGAAAGGGAAAAGTGTTAAACAGAAGAATCAGTTTGTGCAAAGGTTTGGAGGCATAGAGATCATCTATGAGATATTTTATGTGATTTGAATGTGGGTTTTGCAAGTGAGGTGGAAGGAAAATTTATGATAAGAGTTATGCCTTTGAGAAGTTTATGGTTAGTTATGAAGGCAACTAATAAACATACTAGCCTAAAATAAATCTAATGTTTAATTTCCATCTAATCCATTTATGTGGTTTCTTGAAGGCCATTCTCAAATATCTCTGTGAAACTTCCCAAACCTACTTTAGCTAAAAGATAGAACACTCTAAATTCCATTTCGTCTCTGTTATGCTATTGGCAAGTGATCACACCCTGTCATGTCTCTTTTTTTAAAACTCTAATTTTTGACCACAAATTGTTTGTGTTTATGTGATATCTCTTCAGATAATGTAGTAAGCATCCTGAACTTTGGGCTTGTTTAACCTTGTTTATAGTAATAAAAAGCTCAGTAAGTAGGGGTTTATTCAATTAGCAGGTAATAGAGTACAAAAAAGGAGAAAAAGTCTAGTTCTAATCTTTCTTTTATTTAGCTCTGTGATACTGCAAAACTCCTCTGGATTAAGGTTGTCTTCTCTGTCAGATGACGGAATCAACTCCTTCCAGTGGAGTGATGAGGGCCTGGAGGGATTATTTCACTTTTCAAACTAAGGAGTAAGCTGCACCTCTAGATTTGGGTTTTCTGTGAGGGCCTTAGCTATTACTAATAACCCTTGAATAGCAAACTATTGACTGAGAGCTGCTTATCGAAGGGAGTGTGATGCGCATGAAACACCCAGAAGTGAAGGTAAGATTTTACATGTATAGTGGGATAGGCAGTTGACTTTTGACATTATTTTAATTGACACCAATCAGAGGCTTGTGCACTTACATACAGTATTTGACTCACTTATTTTATCTGTGGGTAATGTTTATGGGCAGTTCAAATCAGCTCATGAAGAAGTGTAAACATAGTTACTGTGACTAAGGTGAAATTGAATTTGTCATTGTGATGAAACACCTGTTAACTTCCTATGTAAAGGAAGATAATTGAAATGGGGAAATGGAGCCTTTAGTCCCTGTGATAATCAACATGAATCTTTTTTTCTGCCCCCTTATTTGTATGATCAGGCTAGTATCTTGCCTTTTTAAAAACATCATTTAAAGGAATAATATTATAAAAGAAAGTAGAGAATTTTAAGAGGGAAGCCCAGGGAATATAAAATATGTAAAAGAAGACAGAGCTAAAGCTTAGGAGATATTCTTTTATTAAGAAGACCCTGAGAATAGTTTGATTTTTATGCTGTAATATAGTTAAAAATTATAACCCTAAATCATAAAAAACGAAAAGTCTATATTAGTTCAGTTGAACATAAGTTATGTTTAAAAGGAGACATTTCTAGCAATAGTATTTAAAAGCTTTGTCCTTAAAAGATGTAAATGATGAGCCAAGTAGAAATTTGGCTATTCATAATAACTGTAATCTTCCCCACAGACAGCCACCATCAATAATAGAGATTAGTGTAACAGGTTGGAAATGATTCAGAGGCAAGAACTGAAGCCAGGTAGCATGTTGGAGTAAATAAGTTAGTTGTAGTTAAAAGCACACTTAAAAGTGCTTAGTAGGATTTTCTACATGACATTAAAGTGGCAATAAGGAGTATTGTTTTGGCTTGCATAATTTAAAGTTGTCAAGTTGATTAAGGATGAAGAAAAAATAAAGTTTTTTTAAAAAGGATGAAGCCCTGCCTGGCCACTGTGGCTCAGTAGTTGAATGTTGACCCATGCATCAAGAGGTCGCTGGTTCAATTCCCAGTTGGAGCACATGCCCAGGTTGTGGGCCCGGTCCCCAGTGGGGGACATGCTGAAGGTGGCCAATCGATGTTTCCATCTCTCTCTCTCTCCTTCTCCATTCCTCTCTCCCTAAAAATTAGTAAAGGAGAATAAATAAAATAAAAAGCATGAAGCCCTGACTGGTCTTGCTCAGTGATTAGAGCATCGGCCTTCGGACCGAACATACCTGGGTTGAAGATTCAATCCCTGGCCCCAGTCAGAGTTGTGCAGGTGGCAACAGATTGATGTGTATCTCTCACATCAATGTTTCTCTCTCTCTTCCTCCCTCCCTCCCTCCCAGTCTATCTAAAAATCAATGAAGAAACATCCTTGGGTGAGGATTAACCAAAAAATAAATTAAAAAAAGACAAAGACAGTCAGAAAATTAATAGCTGCTATTTTAATTGACAAAGTAATTTAAAAATTCACTGTTATCAACAATGTTGTGCTAAAAAGGAACTGGTTATATGGAGAAACTTCTGAAAACATTTTTTATAGTTTGTGGATAGCATATACCAGGTTTTTATGGAAGTTAAGATTATTTTTAGTACATCCAATCATTTAATATTCTAGTTGCTTTTAATTGCAAAACCTCATGGAACTAACTTCTCTTTCAGGAAGATTCTTCAATCACTATGTCAACCGACACAGACGTTTCTCTTTCTTCATATGATGAAGGTCAAGGATCTAAATTTATCCGAAAAGCTAGAGAGGCACCATTTGTCCCTATTGGTGAGTTTGACTTTGACATTCTGATAATCTGTTATATGCTGTAACACAATCGACATGTGATTGACTCATTCATCAAGCACATCCATAAGCATTATTTTCAAATATTCTTTCATGTATGCTTGAAATATGCTGGTATTGGCATGATATAACTCTCATTATAAAAATTCTTCTGTGTATTTAGACTTCTTGTTTTATTGACTTTTATTTCAGTGCATGTGTTGGGGGACCCCAAGACAGTCCTTAGTCTCTCGGTGATGTGCAGGAAGGACTCATGAGACTTTTTAAAAATGCTATTCTACTCACAGTTAATGTTTATTACAGTCTCTGTTATATCAGTTGATTCCCTTCAGAGAGGGAAGGAGGACAGAAAGGATGAGTTCCCCTGGCTCTCTCAAAGAAATTTATCTACTGGCTTCACAAGCCCACATTTTAAAGATCTTGACTTTATGAATCAGCTACTTTTTGTGACCATCTTTGGAATTTTAGTTCGGGGGGATTAAAAACATAATGTGTGTGTTAGCTAATTATTGGTCTCATAGCATTTGTATAAAAATGGTAGAAAGTACATTGATTGATGGTAAAATCATCTTGGTTCCCTGCCCCCATGTATCTGACATAATTGCGACTGTTTGTTTCTCAGGAATGGCGGGTTTTGCAGCAATCGTTGCATATGGATTATATAAATTGAAGAGCAGGGGGAATACTAAAATGTCCATCCACCTGATCCACATGCGCGTGGCAGCCCAAGGCTTTGTTGTGGGAGCAATGACTCTTGGTAGGTTCCTCCAGGAAATTTTAAATTTGTGGTTCCCCATTTATGAATTTCTTTGTTAATAAAACGAGGTACATACTTTTAGCTAACTTTGAAGCAGTTTTCAATATCACTTATATTTATTTTCTTGGAAAAGTAAACTAATAAAAAATAGTTCAAGTAGTGACATAATTTTACAAATTATGATATAGGATGGGGCAAAAGTAGGTTTACAGTTCATATGCAAAATAATATAATAATAAATAATAAAAGAATAAACTCTGTTTCATGTACTCACAACTGTAACCCTATACTTTCCCCACCCTATATATATCTTACTAAGGTTTTATTTTATTTTATTTATTTACTTATTCCTCACCTGAGGATATTTTTCTACCTATTATCAGATGGAGTGAGAGAGAGGGAGGGAGAGACAGAGAAACATCGATGTGATAGAGCCACATCAACTGGTTGCCTCCCACATGACCCCCACTAGGACCGGGGATGAACTGCAACCAAGGTACATGCCCTTGACCAGAATCAAACCCATGGGCCAATGCTCTAACTGCTGAGCCAAACCGGCCAGGGCTTACTAAGGTTTTAAAGGAAGAAAGACAATCCTATCCATCACTGAGTTTATAATTTCACTGAAGAGTCTAGATATGCATATAGGATTGGAAGTAAGATCCATTATCTGGGAGAGACATATGATTGCTGTTTTATTGAGTTGAAGGTTGAAAGGGTTTTTTTAAGTGTAGGTATTACATGTTTGCATTGGCTTTATGATTCATTGGCTTTATCTGGTATTATGTAGCAAGAGCCTTTTCTTTTTCTTTATTGATTTTATAGAGAGAGGAGGGGAAAGGGAACGATAGAAACATCTATCAATTGGCCGCCTCCTGCATGCCCCTCACTGGGGATTTGGCCATAACCTGGGCATGTGCTCTGACCGGGAATCGAACTGGCGACCTCTTTTTTTTTTTTAATCCTCACCCAAGGACATTCTTCGATTTTTTGTTCAGGTAGAGTGGAAGGGAGAGAGAGAGAGAGAGAGAGAGAAACATCGATGTGAAAGGGACACATCGAGTGGCTACCACCTGCACGACCAACCAGGGCCGGGAACAAATTGCATCCGAGGTACACGCCCTTAGTGGGAACCAAACCTGGGTCTCTCTGGACCGCAGGCGGCCGCTCTAACCGCTGAGCCAAACCAGCCAGGGTGAACTGGCGACCTCTTGGTGCACGGGTTGATGCTCAACCATTGAGCCACACCGGTTGGACAGAACAACGCCTTTTAAAGTTGCCAGATAAATATTGAACAGTCTGAGCTAGTCATACTGGCCTATAGTTTCCTCAAGCTACTTGGAAAATTATAAAAAGAATTTTAGAAACGTAAATCGTTTCAAGAAGGCAGGAGTGTAAGCAACCTTGGGTCTTGTTCCCCTTGTAAAGATTGCATGATAGCAAAGGTGCTACTTTTAGTTATTTAATGAACTGTTTTTTATTTTCTTAAGTTGAAAACAATATTTAAATGCTTAACCAGTATTCTTTTTCTTTAGGTATGGGCTACTCTATGTATAAGGAATTCTGGGCAAAACCTAAACCTTAGAAGAAGAGATGCTGTCTTGGTCTTGTTGGTGATGTTTGCTATCGTTAGACATCTCATATTGAGGTTATATGTTATGTTGAAAATAAATCGTTTGAGTGGGTGAGACAATTACATGGTAATTTGAATATTGGCTTCCTTTCTTGCAGGTTTAATTTGCAGGTGACTGAATTACTAATGACTAGTTTACTAGCTAGGTCATTCAGGGGAGTCAGATTAGCACATAAGAAACATGTCACTTTTAAATGATAAAATGTCCACCTTGTTAAATTCTTCTGGTGAAATTAGTGCTAAAGAAGACAACTTGCCAATCCTAAAGTACTCACTTGCTGCAGAATATCACATGCGTTTGATGTTATGTAGGAATCCTATTTGCCCAGTTAATTTATTCCTGCCTGCCTTGTGGACTGAATGAGTACTTCAGTTTTTAAACAGGGCTGGTTGGCTCTTAACCCTTTCAGAACAAGTACATGGCGTATAACGTTACAAGCCTCCCCACAACTGAACGTGTGTGTGTGTATGTTTAAACCAGACCTAAAATGCTAATAACAGCTGCTAGAAGGTAGTATTTATTTTAGAATCACACTTGTATTATGGATCCCAGTTTAGTTCTTTTGTAATTGCAGAATTATATTTTTGCTGCTGTTATATTAGATAGTTTTTAAATGTCATCTTGAAATAAAAATATGTATTTTAAGTACTAACGCAAAGGTCATGAAAAACAGTTTTTAAATATGTGCAATCTGTTCATTTTCTCTGTAGGAATCATAAATGTTAAACTAAACAAATTGCCTATAATGGAAGTGAGTGATGATTTAAAAGCAAGCTCTGGTCAGACATATACACAAACTTTTGTGTACTACAGAAGGCTTTTATTGCACTTGTGAAATTCTAACCCAAATTTACATTCCATGGTGATAACATGGTAAATGTAGTGTTATTAAAATAAGCGAACACATCAAATGTCTTGTATTTATTTCAATTTGGAAAAATCAATTATTTCTCAAAATAGCATAAGAATTAAGTTCCCAGAAACAAGGGAGAGCGTTTTGTACCTTTGGTAGGAACCACGGTTAAAGAATATCTACCAAACAGGAATGATGGCTAACATTTATTGAGCATTTGCTGTGTGCTACACCCTGCTATAAGCACTTTTCAAGTATAATGTCATTTAAGTGTCCTGACAACCCTAAGCGTTAGGAGTTATTATTTCACAGAGGAGGAGACTGAGGCGTGAATAGTTTAAGTAACTAACCCAAGCTCACTAGAGCAGGCTGGAGGTCTGGGACTGGAACCTGTGTAGTCAAGTGGTAGATGCCAGCAGGTGTTAGAGACTTGAAATGTTGGCCTTTGTGAAATTAATGCTGGAGTGGTTGCATTAGTTTTATTTATGTCATAAATAAAATCAGACAAGAAGTTATAGCGTGATCTTGGCTCACCACTGACTGTATAACCTGGACCAAATCAATGTTTTCTCAGTCTTCTCCTAACTGTGAAGTGAGAAATTGGTCCAGGTAGTTTCTATGGCCCTATTTATCTTACAGATCATTATATGGGCCTATGAGAAAATGATTTAAAAAAGGAGCTACTACTTGGGAACTTTAGTCAGCTTCCAATATAAGTTATAGGAAATGCTTGTAGGCAGTCCTATCAGTTGTTTCACGAAGGATAAGCCTTCTGTAGAAGAACAAACTTGGGAACAAGTTTCAGAAAATTGTCATTTTAATAGATGATGAGTATATTATAGATTTTGTGAAAATAAACACTAATTTGGGAGAAACTGATCTAGACAAATGCCAGTGGACAGAGAGAAAAGCAAGAATGGGGTGATGAGATGGTAGTAAACATCATGTGATCAAGAGAAAATGAGGGGTTGCTTGTCTGAAGAAGGGTGGAGGACTAGGTGAACGTGCAATGGCAAATGCAAAGGCTTAGCATAGCACCTGCCAATTAGTAAACTCAGTGGATCGTTGCTGTTACCCTTATGGAGCTTGGGGATGCAACAGCACAGGAGCTACATGGGCCCTGCCCTCAACACAGCCTAGCAGGGAAAGCTGGCGTTAAATAAGTGATTGCCAAAAGCATGGTGCATACTAGGTGTAGGGTGCAGCAGGAACATCTGGCTGGGGGCCTAATCCAGGGTTGGAGCCAGAGGGCCTCCCTGAGGAAATGCTGTCCTACGGTGAGGAGACCGTATGCTGACTTTTCACTGAGGGTTCGATTCCTTGGCTCACTCTTGCCTGTTACTGAAGCGCTGGGGTGTGACTGCTCCTGCGCCTCTCTCCAGTAGTCTGTGAGGGCTTGGAAACCTTTCATCCACAGCACCGGCTCATAAGGTGTTCAATAAGTCTTCGTTGAATTAACTGGAATAAGTAGGGTTTGTTTTTTCGCATTCAAGATCCTGCCGTCCCCAAAGAAGTAACCTATGTCTAGTTCATGAGCAACAGTGACATCTGGTGATGACTCTGGTTCACTCCTGTATCAGCCCGAATGTTGGAGTAGAGGAGTGGACATGTAGGCCGTGGCTCTGCCTCAGATGAGGAAATGCCACTCGGAGAGTTATACTTGATCCTGCTTGAAAGCTCTGCAAGTAGAATGGGAGACAGAAAGGAAACCGAACATGCATGCCCCAGCCTGGCCAGGTGCCACTTTCTCCACGACTGGTTCACCCGACGTGAGTTCCTGGGAGAGACAGCGTGGCTCATGCATCCTCGCTTTCGTCTTAGAGCCTGCTCTCCCCTTAGTCACTGCAACGAGGCAAAGATGTGTTCCTGGCGGAAGTCAGACGGTTTTCTCCTAAACTCAGCAGTGATGAATGGTTCCAGAGTGGAGGCCAGCGTCCATTTGCTCCCCTCCGAGGAATGTAGGACGAGGTCCTCTAGAGTATTCTGAGCTTCTTAAAACAGTGTTGGGTCTTTTTCCTGTCCCCAGTGTGACTGCAGGTGGAAATGCCGCCATACCTTTGGGCTAGAGTCCTACTACCTAAACTCAGCTTGTCTCAACCACACTCGGTGTCTTCCCCATGGTGCTTCCCCCTCAGCCGTTTCCGTCAGGGATGCCCTCCATCCCGCTGTCACTGGGCTCATCTCCAGCGTCCTTCCGTCCTCCGGTCGTTCATCACCATTAAGCCAGTCACTGAGTCCTGCTAGTTTTCCCAAGCAAAGCCTCTCGACATTCACGTTTGTCCTTTTCCTCTCCTTGTTGCCACCACTTGAAACCTTTTCCTAGGTTCTGCCACCTGCTCCAGCGGTACCACTGATGCCAAGCCCTGTGCCCGCCACTGCCCTGACCCTCGCCATGCTCGCCCCCTTTCCCGAGTGTGCCCGTCACTCCCGGGGGACTCTGCAGGCCTTCCCTTACAGACCACCCAGTGCTTCCGATAAAGCTTCTAAAATTACTTTAGGCCGCAATGAACTTTACCTTTTTTTTTGTGCCATATTTGAGTTTAAAACAGCATGTCCCACTATAATACCTGACTTATATACACTGCTTTGCTATATGTGAAGTCCTAATACTCTTTTCCATTAATTCCTCACTGAAGTATTTTTTTTTTAATCCTCACCTGAGGATATTTTTCCATTTACCTTCAGATAGAGTGGGAGGGAGGAGGGAGAGAGAGAGAAACATTGACATGAGAGGGACACATCCACTGGTTGCCTCTTGCACGACCCCGGCCAGGGCTGGGGACGAACCACAACCGAAGTACATGCCCTTGACCAGAATCGAACCCATGATTCTTTGGTCCGCAGGCTGACACTCTAACCACTGAGCCGAACTGGCCAGGGCTGAAGTACATATTATCGTGACTTTTTCAACAAGGAAAGCTGTAGTTTATTCAAGGCCGTACAAGTAAAAAGGGACAGAGCTGGGGCACAAATCCAGAACCTGAGACCCTTGGTCACGTGGGAAGACCGCATGATGGAAGGGAAGGCAGGTACATGAAGTCATGCCTGTTCACGAAATACCTGTCCTTCCTCTTCCTTCATCTCCACCCTCTGCCACATAACACGCTCCTCATCCAGCTCCTAAGTACAGTATGTTTTTTCCAATATACTTTAGCTACTTTATCCTCAGATTTAAAAAAAAAAAAAAAAAGATATTTTAAAATTAATTTTTAGAGAGGGAGAGAGAAAGACACATCGAGGTAAGAGGAGAACATGGATAGGAGCCTCCTGCACGCCCCCTACTGGGGATCGAGCGTGGAACCCAGGCATGTGCCCTGACCAGTAATCAACCAGCAACCCCACTGCACGCGATGTCGCCCAGCCAACTGAGGCACACTGGCCGGGGCTATCCTCAGATTTTTTCATAAATGAAAATCTTCAACCAATACTTGTTTTGGCCTTTATAAGATGAAGAGGTTCCTATATACAAATGGTCTTGATTGCAGGGACCTGATTGGGGGTGGGGTGGGGGCGCGATTATCACTGAGACCAGTTGATTTTCACCCATGTGTTTTGAAAGATAGAGATATGAATTAAGAGAAACTGAGAAAAGTGGGGGAAATATAAACTATATTACCAATGCACTGTGCTAAGGGCTGGAAGGAGAGCCAGGGTAGATTTCATCCATCTGAGAGGTCCCTTGGAACTAAAGACTAATGAGTCTTGGCAGAACATTGAGTTTCCTAATAACTCGACGTATGATGAATGAGATCACCATATATACAAACACATCTTAGACAAAATAGCTCCGTGGATAAAATAAGACTTGACTGTAGCCAAAATGGTATAGAGTAAAGGGCTGGTGGCCAACAAAAGCCCAAATCCTTGGTGAGCTCAAGAGGCAACACTGAGGACGTATCTGGCACCTTCCAGCCAGAAGGAACTTGAACCTGAAAAAAGTGGACAATTTTTATCTGTGGGAGCTCCCTGCTGTGACAAATATTTAATAAGACAACCCTGGGGCAAAAATAGCTCAAGGCAATTTGCCTCTGTTTGCTCTGAATCCAAACCCACAGTATTTTTCTGATGACTTTTGGCTTCCTGGATGTCTAATTCCAGGAAGGGAGAGGTTCTGGATAAAGGTCCTAATCCCCTAAAGTAAACTGGTGGCTTAGTGCTGTGGTTAACACCATGACTGGCGTAGGTGTAGCCCCAAGAGAAACTCCTGGTACAACGACCAAATTCGATGTTGGACCTGCAGGGCTGAGGTCCATAGCGCAGAGCTCCGAGATGGGGGAGCCAACGGAGCCTGGTGTGAAGCGCAGCAAAGCTTACTTTCATTTTGAGGCAAAACGGCTAAATCTATAGTAAAACATGACAACTGAACAGCGTTCCAGTTTACAAAGCACTTTCACGACCAACTTGGTGATAATGGTAATAAGGATACTAGTCATGTCTTAAGAAGAGTCGAGCCCTGGCCGGTTTGGCTCAGCGGTTAGAGCGTCGGCCTGCGGTACAGAGAGACCGGGGTTCGGTTCCCGCTAAGGGTACGTACCTCGGTTGCAGTTTGTCCCCGGCCCTGGTTGGTTGTGCGGGTGGCAGCCACTCGATGTGTCCCTTCACGTCGATGTTTCTCTCTCTCTCTCTCTCTTCCTCTCTCTCCCTCCCTCTCTATCTGAACAAAAAATGGAAAAATGTCCTCAGGTGAGGATTAAAAAAAAAAAAAAAAAAAAAAGAAGAGAGTTGAGGTTTATAACTTTACTAATGCCAGAGATATAAAACCCAGGTATTCGTACTTCTGACGGAGTTTATTTCAATTTTGCTTATCATAGTAAGAGTAGAATCACTAACTGTTTATATTTACTTATTTTGGGGAAAGAATATAGTTTCAGTGAAGGATAATCTACTTGGTGACCTTAGCTTTTTAAAAATAAATAAGCATGGATAATATTTTATTATTATTATTATTTTAAATATGTTTTTATTGATTTTTAGAGAGAGAGAGGACGGGAGAGGGAGAGCGAGATAGAAACATTGATTGGCTGCCTCTCGCATGGCCCCGACTGGTGATTGAGCCTGCAACCCGGGCATATACCCTGACTGGGAATCAAACCAGCGACATTTTGGGGATGACGCTCAACCACTGAGCCACATTGACTGGGCTAAAGGTCCCATTTGGAGCTATTTTGAACTGTGGGAAGGACCTAATTTGGGAATTAGAAAAAAAGAGCAATTAGGTCCATACTAATATTTTTAAAACATTTAATAATTTGACCCAACTAATTTTTAAAAAATTTTATTGTAAAATATACATAACAAAATTTACCATTTAACCATTTTTAAGTGTACAATTTAGTGACAATGCATACACTTACAATGCTATACAACCATTATCACCATCTGTGTCCAGAACCTTTTGTTATCCCAAACAGAAATTTAATAACCGTTACCAGTAACTCCACTGCCCTTTTCCCTCGCTCCTGGCAACCTGTGTTCTACTTTCTGTCTCTGAATTTGCATGTTCAAGGTACCTACCAGGGGGAAAAATACAATATTTGGCTTTCTGTGTTTGGGATATTTCACATGTTTTCAAGGTTCATCCATTCTGTAACATGACCAGAATTCCATTCCTTTTTATGGCCAAATAATATTTCATTGCATGGACATACCACATTTTGTTTGTTCATTCATCTGTTGATGGACACTTGGGTTGTTTCCAGCTTTTGGCTATTGTGAATAATGCTGTTATGAACATTGGTGTAAACGTATTTAAGTCCCTGCTTTCATATTTGGGGCATATACCCAGAGGTGAAATTGCTGGAGCATATGGTAATTCCATTTAACAATTCGAGGGACTACCAAACTTTTCTGCAGAAGCAACACCATTTTACATTCCCTCCAGTAATACCTTAGGGTTCCAACTTTTCCACATCCTAGCCAACTCTTGTTATTTTCGATTAAAGGAAATTTTTTTTCTTTATTGATAGGAGAGAGCAAGAAGAAGGGAAAAGGAGAGAAAGATAGAAACATCAATGAGAGAGAACACTGATTGGCTGCCTCCTGCATGACCCCCACTGGGGATCAGGCCCACATTCTGGGCATGTGCCTTGACCAGGAATTGAACCTGTGCATGGGTCGATGCCCAACCACTGAGCCACATAAGCTGGGCTCAATGTTTTTAATCCTAACCAGCCGAATGGGTATGGAATGGTATTTCACTGTGGGTTTTTTGTTTTTTGGGTTTTTTTTTTGGTATGTGCCCCTAGCAGGAATCAAATCCAGGATTCTCTGATCCGCTGAGCCAAACTGGCCAGGGCCTCATTGTGGTTTTGATTTGCATTTCCTTAATGGCTAGTGATGCTGAGCATCTTTTCATATGCTAATGAGCACTTGAATGTCTTCTTTGGAGGAATGTTTATTCAAGTCCTTTGCCCATTTTCCAACTGGATTTTTTGTTATTGTTGAGTTTGCGCAACTGATTTTTGACAAAGGTTCAAAAGCAATTCAGTGGAGGAAGGATACCTTTCAACAAATGGTGCTGGACATCTACAGGTAAAAAAATAAAACAAAACTCAACCCAAATCTCACACCTTATACAAAAATCGCATCAAAATAAATCATGAACATAAAACTCTGATACTTTTAGAGAATCACAAGAAGTCTTTGGGATCCAAGGCTAGGCAAGGTGTTCTTACACTTGACACCAAAAGCACAACCCAAAAGAGAAATAAATTGATAAATTGGATCTAATAAAAAATTTTAAAATTGTAAAGAGAATTAAAAGATAGGCTGGGAGCCCTGGCCGGTTTGGCTCAGCGGTTAGAGCGTCAGCCTGCGGTCCGGAGAGACCCGGGTTCGGTTCCCGCTAAGGGCATGTACCTCAGTTGCAGTTTGTCCCCGGCCCTGGTCGGTTGTGCGGGTGGCAGCCACTCGATGTGTTCCTTTCACATCGATGTTTCTCTCTCTCTCTCTGTTCCTCTCTCTCCCTCCCACTCTACCTGAACAAAAAAAAAAAAGATAGGCTGGGAAAAATTTTGCAAACCACATACCCAAGAAAGGACTAGTATCTAGAATATAAAAAATTCTCAAAACTCAACAGTTAGAAATTGGGCAAAAGGCATGAAGAGACAATTCACCAAAGAGGATATACAAATGGCAAGCACAATGAAAAAAAATGCTCAATACCATTATCCACCATGCACATTAGAACCACAATGTCACTACACATGTATTAGAATGGCTAAAATAAAACATAGTGACATCAAACACTGGTAAAGATGTGAAGGGGAATGTAAAATGGTACAGCTACTCTACAGAACAGGTTGGCTGTTTCTTGTAAAACTAAACATATGATTACCATACAACTGTACTCCTGGGCATTCCAAAAATGAAAACTTAGGCTCCACTCAAAAACCTGTACAAGAATGTTCATATCAGCTTTACTCGTAATAGCCCTAAAATGGAAACAGTGTAGAAGTCCGTCAATGGGTGAATGGTTAAACAAACCATGGGACATCCATACCATGGAAAACCACTCAGCAACAAAAATAAAGACATTATTGATACAACTTGGATAAAACTCCAGAGAATTATTCTGAGAGAAAAAAAAGTTAACCCCAAATGGCTACATACTATATTAGTCCATTCACACAACTTTTTTGAAATGACAAAGTTTCACTGCCCTAGAAATGGAGGACAGATTAGCAGTCACCAGGGGTTAGGGCTTGGGCATGGCGGACAAAAGGGAATTGAGTGTGGTTATAAAAGCCCAAAAAGGGGGATCCTTGTGATGTACAGTGTCTTGACTTTGGTTCAGTGTCTTTGGTGTTCAAACCTACACATGTGATAAAATTGTATAGAACTAAATGCACACATGAATACAAGTCAATTGGGGAAATCTGAATAAAATAGGTGGATTATGTAACTGTCATGATGTTGTGCTCTGAGTTCTGCAAAATGTGGTCTGGTGCCGAATATTCGTTCATGTCTGAGTGAATGCCTTATGAGGGAAAAAGAAAGAAAAATAACTATGAATGCCTTAAGAAAGAAAGAAAAACAACTATGAGATATCCAAATATTTATCCAGGCCTTTGTATTTGGAAAGCTTCCTCAGATCTCCTTTCCTAGAAATTTGTCTCCCACCCCCATATAGCCCTGAATATAGTAGTGCCTTAAACTGGGAAGTACCTTTTTTAAAAACAAATGTTTTCCACTATGAAGATAAACCATGTTTATCATATTTAAAATCCTCTAAAGTGCAAACAAAAACAGCCCAGCAGTTCCAACAGCCAAATACAACAACTTTTACTATTTCTATGCATCCCTCTCAGTCTGGTTTCTATGCCCAGTTTTTAAAAACACAACTTATTTTTAGCAAGAGCGATTCTGTGTCCTGCTGTTTGCACTCGCCATCACAACATGACCTTTCCCCACAACATTTTCCAAAGACATTCGTGGTGGGATCGTTCCGTCTCCAACCCCCCTGCAGGACTGCGGCATGTGCACCTCCGCGCAGAACGTCTGATCCACAAAACTTTCAATATATGTTCCAGAAGCGGCCACCCGACCAAATTTAACTCTCAGACGCGCGACACCCGCTTCCAGCCCACCGCGCCCATTTCCACCGCGTACCCTGGACCGGCGGAGCCGCTGTCACGTCCTGAACGTCCTCTCGGCCACCGTAGAATCGCGGTGACGTTACGCCGGTGGTGTAGCTGGTTTCCCTGGTGACAGTTGCCGGGGCAGCGCGAGAAGCGTCCGGAAGAGGTGACCAAGCTGCGGTGTCCCCGCAGGCAGGAGCGCAGTGACCGCTAAGTGCGGGGCGGGGGAAGGGCGCGGGCTGGGGCGCGGGGAGCCCGCGGACTCGGGGCCTGGGCGGAGCCGGGGCGCACACGCTCGCCCGGGCGCGCTGCACGGGCCGGACGCTCTCCGGACGCCGGACGCAGAGCGAGGACTCTCCGCCCTTTGTTCTGGGAATCTTCACGCACAGCCTCCTGCCTCTCCAGGCACCTACTTTCCGCGAGGTACAAGGGTTAGTGAGGCTCAAAAGGTGGGTCGCCTGCCCAAAGCCACATCGTAGGTGGCAGTCAGACCTCCAACTCTGGTCCGCCTGACTCCGGCGCCCTCTTCTGGTCTCTGCTGCCGAGGCCGCGCGCGCGCCGCACCGGGTGGAGCGGGAACTGCGACCTGGTGGCATCCGCTCCCCGCCCCCCCGCCCCAGGGCCGGTCCCCACGGGACCGAGGACTAGTCGAGAGTCCTGCTTGACGACCCAGTCACCTTCATCCCGTCCCCAACCCCAGCCCATCCCTGCGTTGATGCTGGCCTGGCAGGCAGTCCGTGAGCCTTGTCCTACAGGGCGCACAACTAGCCTTCTCGGGGCCGGCTCCACTCCACCCCCAGGACCCTAGGCGGTTGCTGGGAATACAAGATGACAACATAGTAAAATAATAATGATAATAATAATAATACAGAAGGAAGGGAGGAAGGAAGGGGGAGAAAGAGAAAGTGGCAGGCTGGTGGGGGCAAGGGAAGCCCATGTCTGGATGGTCAGCTCCTCCTCACCGGTCCCTGTGCCCTGTCCTCTGGAAGCTTTGCTTCACCACAGGAAGTGCCGTGGTGGGTGAGTGCCACTCCCCCCATTCCATGGCTCTAAGTCTTTCCTGAGCTGAGAGTTTCTTCCACGCAACCTTAGCCTTAACTTTAAAAAATTAGGCCTTATTTCTTAAAGAAATTTTAGATTTACAGAAATACTGAACAGAAAATACAGAGAGACCCCATGTATTCTTCTCCCCTTACCCCCATTATTAACATCTTGTATTTGGTGTGGTATATTTTTTACCATTGATGATCTTACAATGTTATTATTAACTCTATAAGTTTATAGTTTACATTTTAGGGTTCACTCTTTTATATGGTGTAAGTCTATGGGTTTTGCCAAATGCATGATGTCCTGTATTCACCATTCAGAATAGTTTCACTGCCCTAAACCCTCCCAACCCCCTTGCTCCACTGTTAATTCCCCCCTTCCCTCTACCCAACCCCTGCAACCACTGATCTGTTTACTCCTCTCTACAGGTTTGCCTTTTGCAAAATGTTATATAGCTGCAACCATATAGTATGCAGCCTTTCAGACTGGCTTCTTCACTTAGCAATGTGCATCTAAGTTTCCTTTATGTCTTTCTGTGGCTTGACACTCATTTCTTTCCATCAATGAATAATATTCCTGTGTATAGGTGTACCAATTTGTTTATCTAGTCACCTATTGAAGGACATCTTGATTGCTTCTGATTTTTGGTATTGTGAATAAAGCTGCTATAAACACTTGCTTATAGTTTTTTGTGGAGACTGTAACAAAAAGTTTTAAGTTTTGTTTTTTTATCCTCACCCGAGGACATTTTTCCATATTTTGTTCAGATAGAGTGGGAGGGAGAGAGAAAGAGAGAAACATTGACATGAAGGCACGCATCGAGTGGCTGCCACCCTCATGACCCAACCAGGGCCGGGGACAAACTGTAACCAAGGTACATGCCCTTAGCGGGAACCGAACCGGACCTCAGGCCGACGCGCTAACCGCTGAGCCAAACCGGCCAGAGCTGTGGAGACTTAAGTTTTCAGCTCATTGGGGAAATATGATTGCTGGATCATGTGGTGAGACTATATTGAACTTTGAAAGAAACTGCCAACTATCTTTCAAAGTGGCTGTACCGTTTTGTATTTCCACCAGCAATGACTGAGAGTTCCTGTTGCTTCACATCCTTGCCAGCATTTGGTGGTGTCAGTGTTTTGGATTTTAGCCATTCTAGTAGTGTGTAGTGGTATCTCATTGTTGTTTTAATTTGTAATTTCTAATGACATATAATTTTGAACTTTTCATATATTTACCTGCCATCTGTATGTCTTCTCTGGTCAGGTGTATGTTCACATCCTTTGCTTAATTTTTTTTTTTAATCCTCACCCAAGGATACTTTTTTCCATTTTATCTTCAGATAGAGTGGGAGAGAGAGAGAGAGAGAGAGAGAGAGAGAGAGAGAGAAACATTGATGTGAGAGAGATACATCAACTGATTGCCTCCTGCACTACCCGACCAGGGCGGGGTACCGATCCGCAACCAAAATATGTGCCCTTGACTGGAATCAAACCCACGACTCTTTGGTCTGCAGGCCAGCGCTCTACTACTGAGCCAAACCGGCCAGGGCTTTTGCTCACTTTTTAACTGGATTGTTTCTATATTGTTAAGTTTTAAGAGTTCTTTATATTTTGGATACAGTCCTTTATCAGATGTGTATTTTACAGATTTCCTGAGGTTTGTCTTCATTTCCTTAGCAGTGCCTTTTGCAGAGCAGAAGTTTTTATTACTAATGAAATCCAACTTGTCAAATTTTTCTTTCATGGATCATGCTTTTGGTATTATATCTAAAAACTCATTGCCAAACCCAAGGTCATCTAGATTTTCTAGATTATCTTCTAGAATTTTTAGAGTTTAGCATTTAGACATAGGTCTGTGATCCATTTTGAGTTCATTCTTGTGAAGGGTGTAAGGTCCGTGTCTAGATTCATTTTTTTTGCAGTTATCCCACACCATTTGTTGTAAAGCATACTTTTTCTTCATTGAATTGCCTTTGCTTCTTTGTCAAAGATCAGTTGACTCTCTTTTTATAGGTCTAATTCTGGGTTCTCTAGTCTTTTCTCTTTATCTGGTTGTCTGTTCTTTCACAAATACCACACTGTCTTGATTACTGCAGCATTATAGTAAGTCCTGAAACTGAAGCATCAAACTGGCCACTTTGTTTCTTTTCATATTGTGTTGGCTACTCTGAGTCTATGTCTTTTCATATAAACTTTAGAATCAATTTGTCATTATCCACAAAGTACCTTGCTGGGATTTTTCTTATGATTGTGTTGAACCTATGGATCAATTTGGGAAGAACTGACATGTTAACAATATTGAGTCTTCCTATCCATGTACATAGAATATCTATTTAATTATTTGATTTCTTCAGTCTGAATGTTATAGTTTTCCACATAAGGATCTTATGCATGTATTGTTAGATATATACCTAAGTATTTTCTTTTTTTTTTTTAATCCTCATCCAAGGATATTTATCCATTGATTTTTAGATAGAGTGGAAGGGAGGGAGAAGGAAAGAGGGAGTGATAGAGAAATATTGATGCAATAGAGACACATCAATTGGTTGCCTCCCACACGACCCCAACCAGGGCTGGGGATCGAACCCGCAACCCAGGTATGTGCCCTTGACTGGGAATCAAACCCAAGACCCTTCAGTTGTAACTGCTGAGCCAAACCTGCCAGGGCAGTATTTCCATTTTTTATGTGAGTATAAATGGTATTATGTTCTAATTTCAATTTCCAATTGCTCGTGTCTGTTTCTTCATCACTCAGCTTGCGGCTGGCTGAGGACGCCTCTCCTGGGGTCTCCCGGCCAGTCTCTCAGGGCTCCCACACCTCTTACTCTCCAGTCTGACTCATCATTAGACTTGTGTGGGAAGATCGAAAATAGACAGATGCCCAGGCCACAACCCAGAGCAATTATTCCCACATCTCCTCTGGCTGCAAGCATATCACAGAGCAGATGCTAATCTCTGGGGACCGAGGTGTCCTGTGAGAGCAGGCATGCTGTCTGTCTTCCAGAGGCTTATTGGGCCAAGGACATCGCATTTCATACGATGAGTAAGATGACAGCTGAATTCTCAGGCGTGCTTCTATGCTCGGCACTGTATTACATGCTTTCCATTCGTTCTCTCACTTAATCCTCACAACCACCCTGTGAAGTGTTTAATGATTACCGTCCCATTTTACAGATGAGTAAACAGGGAGATTGAGTAATTTGCCTGGGAAACAGTGTGCTTTCTAGAAGAACCTGTCCCCCATTGACTCCAAATGCATGTTGGGAATAGAAAAGGAAAAAGACTTGTTACTGTGTTCATTCATTCCTTTACTCATTCATTTATTCTTTCTCTCATCCTTGAATACCTGCTACATTCATTCATTCAAATATTAATTGAAGGCCTATGCTGGGCAGGATGTGAAGAATTAAAAAATAAATAAGGCATAAGACCCCTGCCTTTAAGAGGCCTCTCAGCAAAGCGAAAGGATAGAAATAGTCACAGATGGTTATAGTACATTGAGGTAAGTTTAGTGATCAAGGGACACCTGAAGGATTCTAGGAGTCCACAGAGTGCCCCCAGGGGAAACCGAATGGCTGAGCAGGAGTTCGTGGGAAGGAGATGGGCTGCTGTGGGGAGCTGGGGAGGGAGGAAGTCATCCCAGACAGGTAGAGTGGCTGAAGCAAGCCTTTGAGACGCCTCCAGGCTTGAGCCTTAGCAGGAGTCACAAACCCAAACATCTGCAGGGGCTGATGGGAAATGGAAGCGGTGAATCCAGCAAGTGTAAGAGAGGGAACAGCGTTTACTACAATAATAACAGGCAGCTGACGTGCCAGCTGCAGCATCTGGGAGTGGTAGGGACCAGGATGAGGGGAAAAGCACACCCTGCCCAGAGGGCACTCGCTCTGTCCAGCAGCTGTGTCCAAGTGGGGCCATGAGACCACGGGCTCAGCATTGCAGATCCGTAAACTTTTACAAAAGAAGCTAGAAGTCTGGTTTTAATTGAAATCCACAGCCCTAGCCGGTACGGCTCCGTGGTTAGAGTGTCAGCCGGTGCACCAAAGGGTCATGGGTCCAGTTCCTGGTCAAGAGCACGTACCTGGGTTGCAGGTTCAGTCCCTGGCCCGGGAACAAAAATGTCTGTAGGGTAGATGGATGCTGCCCTCGGAGCCAGAGTGTACGTGATGAGTCCTGGCAGGTCTTGCGGAGGCAGGAGCCACTTAGATCTGGTTTTGGAAAGGTTCCAGGTGGTTGTGTGCAGTAGGAACAAGACAAGACCCAGGCAGCTAAGGAGGGAAGCAGGTAGCCAGAGAGATAGGAAGATACTGGGGGGCTACTGGGGTGAGCCTGATGTCACCATCTTCTGAAGCAGGTGAAGACGAGGCACAGAGGAGGTGACCTTGTAATGTGAGGCAGTGGCTGCAGAGGCTGGAGGCAGCTGTCATGAGGCTTGGTCACTGTGGGCACAGCAGCCAGGGAAGACTTTCTGCTGAAGGGTCACAAGAATCACTGTGATGTGGGACAAGAGGAGGAGGAAGGGAGTTCTCCAGAGAGACCACCAGGAAGGGAGGAAATAATAGTATTTTGTTTCTACCAATGCCTACCTGACAGTTTTCACACCCCCTTTGCATTTGTCCTCTCACAGGACATGTGGCCTCCATGTCATCATCTCCTGCTTACTGAACAAGGGGCTGAGGCCTGGAGAGGTGCAGACATTTTTTAGACTCACACAGCTGGTACCAAGCCAGGTTCACCTTGAACCCCATATTCAGTCTCAGCTTGGGCCAGGCTTCGTATACAGGAGCCAAACCAGCAGCATCCAGCACCCAGGCTGCACCCTGACCAATGATGTCAGACTCCCCGCGCCAGGGACGGCATCAGAATGTGTAAAGCTCCCTGGGTGGATCCAGCGTGCAGCAGGGACGCCAGCGGCTGCTTTACGTGCTGGTCACAGCCTCCGGGTTGCTGTTCTGACTCGCTGTTGACCCAGAATAGTTATTCATAGCTCTCTGTTGTGTTCTCCAAGGTGACCCAATTTGGCAAATGAGGTATATGGTCCTCCCTCTTATAACCCAAAAAAATAGGAAATCACAGGATAAATTTATTTTTAAACTCTATTAGTTACATTTTCAAATAAGAGGCATAGTAGGGTTTTCGTCCATCTCTAGACACCTCTTAAGCTGAAATTCCTTTAAACCAGGTCGGCAAACTAAGGCCCATAGTTCAAATCCGGCTCACTGCCTAGTTTTTAAATAAAGTTTTATTGGGACAGCCACACCCACTCATTCCGGTGTCTTCACTGCAGAGTACAGTGGTTGCAACAGGGACCACATGGCTTAAAATATTTACTCTCTGGCCCTTTATGGAAAAAGAGGGCTGGGTGCAATATTCTTCATTTAGGCAAATCAGACTTTTTCTGTGGGGTGTAGGAGCAAGGTGATGCAGAACCGGCCTTGTGTAGGGGAACCGGCTGGAAGGAGAGACTGAGACCAAATCCGCCAAAGCCTTGAATGCCTTTGGATTGGGTCTGATGGGCATCGACTGATGCTTTTAGCATAGGGGCGTATCAGGCTCCAACTGTGCTTTAGAGAAAGTAGCCATCAGTGGAAGCTGGCTAGACTGCAAGGGAGGTAGGGAGAGGGGCGGGCAGCCAGGGCAGTAGAGCCTGTTCGAGCTGTCCTGAGGACAAAACCATTCGTCCGTCCCTCGTTTACCAAGTACTGGCTTCATGCCTGCTACACACCAGGCCCTGGGATAGGCACTGCAGATTCAGCAGTGAACATCACACAGTGCCTGCCATTGTGGGGCTGGCAGGGAGCTAGAAAAGCAATCAACCAATAAATATATAATGTTTCAGGTGAAGCTAAGTGCAATGGAGAAAGATAAAACTGGGCAAGGTCATCGGAGTGAGGGTAGGAATGCTTTCTACAATGGAATGGTGAGAAAGGCCTCTGTGATAAGGTGAGCAAGGTGGATGTCTGGGAAGAGAACATTCCAAGGAGAGGGAACAGCTAGTGCAAATGCCCTGAGGTAGCCATGTGCACAATAATGAGAGATATCAGTGGGGATAGGAATGTGGGGACAGATTTGAAGACATTACGGAGAATCAACAAGATTTATGACTAATCGGATGGTGGGTTGATGACGTGATGAGTTTGATTTAAATCAGGGATGCTTAACACTGGCTACATTTGAAAAGCATGTGGGGAGAGTTTTAAAATTCCATTGTTTGTGTTCTATTATTCTATTTATGTGAAGTTCATAAATATACAAACATCCAGAATGTATAAGGAACTCAATAATAATACAATATGATTTTTTAAATGGGCAAAAAATGTGAACAGACACATCACAAAAGAAGATGTGCAAATGGCCAGTAAGCACATGAAAAGATACTCAACGTAATTTGTCATTAGGAAAATGCAAATTAAAACCACACTGAGGTAGCACTACATACCCACTGAAAAGGCTAAAATTTATACTGACCATACCAAGTGTTGACAAGGATGCAGAGCAACTGGAACTCTCATGCACCACTGATGGGAATATAAGTGCTACCACCACTCTGGAAAACAATTTAGCAGTTTCTTATAAAGCTAACATGAATTTATCCTATAACCAGGCATTTCCAACTCTAGCTATTTGCCCAAGAGAAATAAAAACATATGTTCACACAAAGACTTTATTGTATACGAATATTAATGATTCATAACAGCTTTATTCATAGTAGCCAAAAATGAAAACAGCTCAGGTGTCCAATAACAGGTGAATTTGTGAACAAACTAGTATATCTATACAATGGAATACTACCCAGCTATAAAAAAAGAATAACTAGTGAAGAATGTAACATGGTGAATCTCCAAAAGGAACAAAAAAAGAACCCAAAACAAAACAAAAAGACACATACCACTGCCTACTGTATGATTTCAGTTATATGAAATTATAGAAAAGACAAAACTGTAGTGATGAAAACAGATCAAAGTTTGCGTGGGGTTGGGCCTGGCAGGGAAATCTATTGCAAAGGGGCACAGATGAACTTTTGGTGTGAGAAAAATGTTCTATCATGATGGTGGTGGTGATTTGCACAGGTATATATGTTTGTGAAAACTCATTTGCACACATAAAATTGGTGTCTTTTATCTTGTATACATCATCATACTTTAAGGGAGCTGATTAAAAAGAAAACAGACAGAACTCATCTTCAATGGCAGAAGTCAGAATAGTGGTTACCTTGGGAGAGGACACAGACGCCCTGCTCAGGGACTGGAACTACCCTACACCTTGATCTGGGGGTCACCAGAGGAGTGTATACTCATGTAAAGATTCATTGAGCTGTATACTCAGGATTTATGTACTTTATTATATGGAGATTATACCTCAAAATTATACCTCAATTTAAAAAGTAATGATTAAGTGTCATTGTAGGAATTGGGATTTAATTGGTCCAGGGATGTGCCCAAGCATTGCCCTATTTTAGGAGCTCCTGGGAGTCGAGAGCCACTGTTTTAGGTCAGGAAGGGGTGAGTCTGAGTCTGAGTGATGGGGAGTGTTCTGATGCCATTTGCAGCCTGGTGGCACAGTCAGGGCTAGAGGAGGGTGCTCAGCTCAGCTTTGGCTTCAGGGGATAGAGAAGGGGGTGGTCTTCCAAGCTTCTGCATGGCCACACCCAAAGCGGAGCAGCCAACACCAGGGTTGGGGGTGTAGACCGGGCTGACTCTGTACTGAGCCCTCCTGGAAATGTGCACAGTGTGGCGTTTGCTTCAGCTCAGGCCTCTTTCCTGCTCCTAGGGCAAGATGGCTGCGGAGGAAAGCTCGCAGGACACCTTGCGGCTGCAGTTCAAGGCCATGCAGGAGATGCAGCTCAAGAGGCTCCAGAAGCAGATGGAGAAGAAGATGGAAAAGGAACTGAGCCTCAGTAACAGAGTCGATGACCCAAAAGAGCCCTCGGAGGCCTTGGATGGCCTCAGCCTTTTCCAAGCCGGGGAGCAAAACTCGCAAAACAGCTTTGAACAGAGGTCAATGTGAGTTTGAACTGTCCCAGGAGCACCCCGGGGGGCGGGAGGTGGGGAGGAATGATAGCAGGCAGGTAGACAGTCTGGGTGACCAGATGTGCGACTGTAAGTTGAGACACAGAGGTGTTGACACAGAGGTTGTTATTGAAGACCCCTGCATCAGATAGAGCATCCGTGCTCCTGTGGACAAAATTTGATATGAAATGTGCTTAAAAGTCATTTAAAGTCAAACTGAAATTTTGTAACTCATCAAAATTTTGAAAATTCACTTGAATTTTCTTATGTAGTTTCTTGTGGAAACTGTGTTTGGGTTTCTGAGGAGCTGGTTGGCTGACTCTGATGGTTCATCGAAACTCTTTGCTTCAAATCTCATCTGGGATAGTTCTCTCATGCCAGTTTCAACACTTAAACCTGTCTGTCCTGCAGAAGGTCCTGGTGGGTTCCTTGCTGTTTTACAGTTGGTGTAAAAGTTGAAAAGAGTCCAGAACCTTCTCACTTTGCTCTGAATTTGACTCCACATAGATGCATATTGATCTATACCAGTTATTGGAAGCAGGAGTCTGTATTGATACAAAATTCTCTGCTTGTCGTTTTACATAAAAATCACAACAGTTGTTGAGCTATCTCTTTGCTTCTGGCTTCACCCAGAATCTATTTTCTCCATCTTTAAATTCTACTTCTTATGGTTTCTCAATTCTCAAAATGTTCTACTAAAAAATGTTAATTGGGAAAAAATAAAAATCTCTCAATAATTGAAACAATTCATATAGCTCTTAAATGTTAGCCCTAAGTTAACCCCAGACCTATTTGCAAATGATCTTTTTCCAAAGCAGGAAATGAATTGATGGAGACTTGAGCCATCGGTAGATTAACAACAATAATAGCTGTTATCTAATAATTTCTATAACCTGTAACTTCTATAACTCATTTACTTTCTGGGCAGCTGTCTCTAGGGAGCCTGTTCTATTTGTATCAATGGAAGTGATCACAGACCCACCGTCACAAGTTATTTGTGTTCTGAAAAGAGCCGTACAGACGATTTGTAACATACAAAACCAGCCACCTGTTCTCATTTTCTGTCAGTTTCCCTAAAACCTAGAGACCTAGCCTTAACTTAAGGCTTAGACAGATTTTGTTTGGTCTTCTAATATGTGTCTACAATGAAGACTGTAAATTTCCTTCGATGTATGCCTTCAGCTGCATTTCGCGCGTTTTGATATATATTGCTTCTGCAGTCCATTCTAAATGCTTTGCAATATATATTACGATTTCTTCTCCATCCACAAGTTAGGAGTGTGTTGTTTTTAGTTTCAAACATATGATAGATTTGCTGTTTTTAAATTTAATTTAATTTTTGCTATATTTTGAATACTAATTTCTAATTTTAGTCAATTTCCAGGAAAGAAAATGGTCTGTATGATGTCCATTATTTGGAATTTGCTAAGATTGCCTTTGTAGAGTATATTAATACATTGTGATGCAGCTTCCGTGGATGCTTCAAAGGACAATGAACTCTCTGAGTGGGGTTTTACATGGCTCTCTGTTGGATCTACAGTAAACCATGTTATTCACACTTCTTCCTTTCACGTGTGCGCTTGTGCATGTGCATGTGCATGTGTGTGTGTGCACGTGTGCATGTATGCGCTCGCACGTGCTCGGCGCCTCTGTGCTGAATCGTTCTGTTTTGAGACTGTTGTATTAAAATCTGCTCAGTGAAGGTTCCTTTAATTTCTCATTACTATTTTGTACAGACCTGTTCTTATCACCACCTAGTGCCCCGCAAGATACAACCAGCCTGGGCAGTGGCCCCGGCCCTGGCCACAGTCCCTGCACAGGAGCGGTAACCCTGCCTTTGCCTTGCAGGGTTCTTGAAGCCGAGGTTGAACAGCTGCGCCACCAGCTCAGGGAAACAGTGGACGAGAATGGGCGGGTGTACAAGCTGCTGAAGGAAAGGGACTTCGAGATCAAACACCTCCAGAAAAAGATAGAAGAGGACAGATCTGTCTTCACAGGTAGCTCCACCATTGTTGCGACAGTCCCAGCCCCAAAGTCCAGGTGCCCTGAGGTCCAGGCCCAGCTGTCACGGAGCCCACCCAGCAGGGCAAACAGCAGCTTCCAGAGGGCAGGTGCCCAAGAGAGAGTGCCAAGGGTCAGCTGTGGCCAAGCCCGCTCAGACGAGTCCTAGAAATGCGGGAGAGGGGAGAGGGAGAGCGCGGGCCAAGCAGTCGGCTCCCCAGGAGGCGGGAGGACTGCTGGGCAGCGGTTCCTGGCCAGTGCTGGTGACTCGGCTGGGACTCGTGACAGGGTTCTGCATGGTGCCTGCTGCATGTATGTGGGCCAGCGGGACCCATTTTTGTTGGTGCTCTGGCCCTGACATTGAAGCGTGGATGTGAGAACGCCCCAGTAGAAACAGGCATTTACTCTACTTGCTGCTCCAGAAAGGTGGGCGAGACAGGGGCGCTAGCTGTTTCCGGGGACTTCCTAGGACCCCGCACAGTCTAGAACAGACCTTGGCCCTTCAGGTCCAGGCTGGACCTTGGCTCTGTTGGTGGAGACCTTGGCCTCATGGGTCTGGTGGGGACTATGGCTTTGTGGGTTTAAGATTGACCTTAGCCCTGTGGGTGTGGGCTGGACGTTGGCTCTGTGGTTCTGAGCTAGAACTTGGCCCTGCAGATCTGGTGGGGACCTTGGCCTCTGCTCCATGTGCGCCCATTGAGCAACTCCCAGATGGCTGACTAATAAACCACCGAGTCAATGTCGCCAGTCACAGAGAGCAGCAGGCCTCACCCAACATCTGCCATCCTGTCCCTCCCTGCCTTTGATCTGAAATGCCTTTCAGGGTGGTGCAGCCAGAGGACCAGTGCCGAATTAAACAGCAAGGGACTTTGGTATCCTAATGGCCCTCGGCAGTCTACTGAGCCCCCCATGCTTTGGCCTTTTCTGTTTAAAACAAAATGCTGAAGACCAGGCTTAGTGTTGTGAGGAACAGAAACACATACCCTGGCGCTCAGATGTGAAGGGGCAGCTGGCCCTTGGGCAGGCTGCAGGGAAGAGGCTGGCTTCAAGGGAGAGCAGACCCCCACCTGCCAGCGCGTCTGTCCGTCTGTCCGTCTGTCCGGGAGAAAGCTGCCCTCCAGCTCTCACCTCAGCCAGACAACGCACTTCTGCCCGTAGTCTCTGGTGCCTTTCAAGCTGCCTCCCCCGAGCTGGGGCCCGGAGGGAGGGAGTGTGAGTCCGAGCAAGTCTGCGTGCGGGCCCTTTAAGAGAAGCCTCAGCCTCCCTCAGCCTCAGTTCCTGCTGGTTTTTATAGTCAGAAATCATGGGGCTTCTCTTCCTGGCACAGAACCCTGAGCCGGGGGCCTGGCGTGGGACGGGGACCCCTTGCTCCTTGGGGAGGACCTTCCCAGCTGAGGTGTCCCCCCTGACACAGCCCATCCACGCCTCCGCCCTCCTACCAGTCTCCATGTGGCTTCTTCTTTAATTCCGTAGTTGCAGGACTTCCATTCAGCTCGAGTCAGGCGGTTCTGAATGATGGCTGTTCTGTAGTCTAGTTGTCATCTTGACGTGGCTGTGGAGGAGGCGATGCCGGTCACCCACGCGCCATCTGGACCAAAGTCCCAGTCCACGTGTTCAGACGCGGCCACAAGTGACGGGCTGCTGGCAGCTGGCAAACTGCTTTTCCTTTGGTGGGATTTTTAGTGATTGCCAAAGTTTAGTGTTTTTAAACTATATTTCTTTGTACTGTTTATTAGTGATTGCTCTAGTGGTTGCAAATACATCCTTAACTTTTCACAGTCTCCTTAGAGTTAATATTTCATCACCTCAAGTGGAACGAAGAAACTTGATCTCCGTGTGGGTTGCTTTACCCTCCCCGCTCTGGTGCAGTTTTTATGTGTATTATTTCTCTATAAATTGAAAATCTATAGATGGTGTTATCATTGCTTTCAACCATTGCACATACTTCAAAGACCGTCAGGAGGCCCACAGAGCCTCCTGTATTTCCCCAGGTGCCCGGCACGTCTGTGCTTGTCCACTCACTGCCCATTGGCACAGGGGCAGCCCAAGGGTCTGTCTGGAGACTGGGTTGGAGAGAGAGAACAGATGCCCAGAGGTTCTTTCCCTTCTCTCCCTCCCCCCTTTCTGCCTTTGGATTAGAAAGGGCAGGTCTTAGACCCCTTTCTGATGTCTGGTTCCAGGATTTGCACGGCTTTGGAGTCCTGGGAGGAAGACATTACCCAGAGGATGCGCACTAGACCATCGTAGTCCTAGGCCTGGCTCCCTCCCCGTGTCCTGGGTCCTTTCTCCGTGCACGTCCTCGTCTTGTCCGGCAGGGCCGGCAGCACGAGCCTGGGCGGAGTCCTGTACCCTATTCACCGTCCACCTCAGTCTTGTTCTGAGACGAGTTACAGTCTCAAAAGTCATCCTGAGAAGGTGTCTCTGCCAGTGACCCCCGCTGAGACGTCAGAGCGTACAGGGAACTCGAGGGCATTCAACCCAACGCCCTCCAGAGAAGGCGAGGGCCTGCAAGGCCACCTGGCCAGCCCCCCCCACCTGCCTTCTCTAGGGTCCCACACCGCACAGCCTCCCCTGTTTACATCCCTCCGGCCGCCCCCTACAGACTCCTGCCCTTGCCCTTGGCTACTTCCTCAGACACTCTAAGCACTTTCCTGCCTCCGGACCTTTGCACTTGCTATTTCCTCTGCTGAGAACACTGTTCTGCGTGGCCGATCCCTCACTTCATTCATCCGGGCTCTGTTCACACGTACGTCCTCAGAGAGGCCTTCCCTGACCGCTCCTAAAATAGCATCACCCCGTAGCTCTCATCCCAGCATCATGTACTGCACAGGACTTATTCCTCCCAGGTATTAGAATACATACGTATGTTTGTTTTTTATTGTCTGCCTCCCCTGCTAAAATGTAAACTCTGTAAGTCTTTTTTATTCACCGTCAAATCCCTACACCCAAAGGGTTCAACACTTGGTAGAAACTCAGTGAACACATGAGTTCATATTATTAGGTGTAACCACAAAGTTCTGTGTAAGAAGCAACCATGTGATCTCAGCAGTGTTCAGCAGTAAGCACTGATTTAGCCCAAACATCCGGGGGTTGGTGGGGATCGGCTGGGCTAGGCCAGGCTGGGCTAGGGCGGGTCAGCTTGTTCCCTGTGTCTGTCTTCCTCCCCGGGAGCAGGCGCCGGCCTGGCGTGTTGTTCCTGTGGAGGTGGCGTAAGTGAAAAGGGCCAGTTCACCTGCTCAGGAGCTTCTCCGGCCTCCGCCTCCCCCTTGTCTGCGAACATCCCATTGGCCAAAACAAGTCCTTGGTTGAGCCCAGAGTCAGGCAGGCATAGAGAGGTACAGGGGGTACACCCTTCTCCCTGGAGGGCACAGCAGAGTCTCAGGGCATGAGGTGCGGCTATGTAGCCCTATCACTGAGGAGGGCATGAAGAATTGACACAATCAGTTTATCTCCCACAGGATTAAAACTCTGCTTCCCTATTTTTTTTTTTTAATTTTCATCCAAGGATATTTTTCTATTGATTTTTCAGATAGAGTGGGAGGGAGGGAGAGGGAGAGAGAGAGAAACATCAATGTGAGAGAGAGACACCGACTAGTTGCCTCCCACATGACCTCAACCAGGGCCGGGGATTGAGCCTACCACCCAAGTCCGTGCCCTTGACCGGGAATCAAACCCGTGACTCTTTGGTCCGAGGGCTGACGCTCTAACTGCTGAGCCAGATCGGCCAGGGCTGCTTCCCAGGGTTCTGATTTCTCCAGAATATGCCGAGTCTCTGAGTGGTTGCGTTGCACTCGCTGCAGTTGGGTTTCGGAGTGCCCAGGTGTGTGGCGATGCAGTGCCCCCGAGCCTCTGCCCCTCCGTTAATATTCACACCAGGCAGCTGAGCGTTTAAAGCCCCGGGTCTGGGTCCAGTCCCATGAGTTGGCGGCGTGGGCCTGTGTTTTGAACTGACCTCACCGTTTTTCTTCATTTCAGGGTCAGCCGGTGTGGCTGGGGACGTGATCGCCACCAAGATCGTCGAGCTGTCCAAAAGGAACCGGGTGCTGATGGCGGAGTCGGAGGTTGCGAAAACCAGGATGAAGCAGCTTCGCAGTCGTGTCCAGGAGCTGGAGCAGGAAGTGAGGGCCTTGGTCCCGCTCCCTCTGGGGGCCTCGCACTTGGGCGCTTTGGCCCCTCCTGAAGGGCCTGTGGGCCAGTGCTGCAGTGAGCCCCTCCGTCTCTGTCACTTCCTGAGGGGGAAGTGTCGGGAAGCAAGGGGGACAGAGGCCACGGAAGGCAGCCGGCACAGGGGTTAGGGCCTGGACTTGCGGCCTGACTGCCCGGGTGCGGATCAGCCCCATCGCTGACTCAGTGTGGGACTTTGAGCAAGTTGTCAGTGCTCTGTGCCTTAGTCTCCCCCATCTGTCACATGGCAGTGACAACAGCCCCCACCCAGGGTGTTCTGAGGACTAAATGACCTCACGTCGCAAAAAGCTTAGAACAGGACCGACATGTGGTAAGCGCTGGATACATGTTTGTTAAACACATTGACAGGCATCCCTGCCCATCTGAAGCCAGAGCCAGGAGCATCCGCCAGCTGGTGTCACGTCTCTCCACCTTCCTCCTTCTGCCCCCGCCCCCCGCCCTCCAGTGGGGCAGGGGCACAGCCAAGCAGTTCACGGTCCCTGAGGACCTGGAACGGAACCCAGGTGCCAGGCAGAACCCACGCGGCTCCTCCTCACACGGCCCAAGGAGCCGAGGCTGGGCGGGGAGGCTTTCTCAAGCCACACAGTATGTGCTGGCGCCGGATTTCCAGTCCAGGTCTGTGGCTCTGCAGACTGCCCCGCGGTCGTGTGCTTGGCGTGGGATCAGAGCTGCCTGTTCTAGAACAAATCTTTGAGAACCATCTCAGGCTCTGTGCCAGGCCCCGGGGAGACTGTGGGGAGCAAAACAGGCCTGGTCCTTGCCCCCTGGGAGATAGACCAGCAGCCAGGGCCTCAGGAGAGAGCATGCACGGTGGAGGCCGGAGGATGCGATGGGCAGCCTGGGAGAGGTGGGGGAGGGGCCTCCGTGCAGATGCCCCGCAGGGTTAAGGCCCTGAGTGGGGAAGGAGGTCTGAAAGGAGACCAGTGGCTGAGAGTGACCCAGATGGGGTCAGAGAGCCTTGTTAGACTGGGTTTGGTCTTTGTATGAAGACCAGTAAAGTGTCGGTGGGCTGTCTGGATATGATGATGGACTTGGCCACTAGGCCTTGGGCCCGTATAGCAGGACCCTCTGTGTGTCCTGCCCTGAAACATGAAGTCTGTAATTCCTCTCCCCTCCCCTCCCAGGCTGTTAGAACTCCAGGGTACAGACCCTTGATTTCTAGATAGAATGAAAGAGAAGGAGGAAGAAAGAGACAGAAACAGAGAAACATCGATGTGAGAGAGACAAGTTGACTGGTTGCCTCCTGCGCGACCCCAAATGGGGCCTAGGGATCGAACCTGCAACCCAGGCATGTGCCCTTGACCGGGAATTGAACCCGCAACCCCTCAGTCCACAGGCCGAGGCCCCAACCGCCGAGCCAAGCCGGCCAGGGCAGTGTTCTCATTTATTACGTTGTCAGTGAAACCAGGGCCACTGCTCTGTGATCGGGGGGAGGGGCAGACCGTCCATTAAACCCTGTCCCCTGGCACAGTCAGTGAGTGAGGGTCCTGCCACTGAAGACCCCAGCGTGTGCTGGAGGGCAGCCACTGAGATCGGTAGCCACCACCTGGGGTGGCTCCAGCCTATTCACTGGGCACGCAGGTGCCGAGAAGAATTAAATATTCAGTGTGAGGTTTGCTTTTTCAGCTGCAGACGGCCCTGGCCAGGCTGCCAGCCAAGGGGGCGACGGACGCAGGAGCTAAGCCGCCGAGAGCCCAGACAGGAGACAGAGCCTTGGTATGAATTCTCTTAGCCACCTGCCTGGGTCCCCCTCTTCCATGGGACTGTAGGTGCCTCTGCCCGGGATCTGCCCCCGCCCGGGGAGCCAGTGCCACCATCACAGTGTCTGCAGAGCAGCTGACAGGGAGCAGTGGCCAAGCAGTGGCCCCGCGGGGGCCAGTGAGGGTCTGACTCTGACTCAGCCCCAGAGAGGGAGGGTGGGAGGGGCCCGAGGACCCTGGAAGCCTAGAGTTCAGGATCAGGAGCGGGGGCCTGGCCCCACTGGCCGCCCCCTCGCAGCCCAGCATCCTCAGTGGGGAGACAGCCGACCCCGTCACCCGGGGACGGGGCCTCACTGCTGCCCACGACCCAGCGTGAGGGGCGGTTTATTTTGTGAGAAGTTTCCTCCTGGAGGCGCTCCAAGGCCACAGAGTGAATGTGACCACTGGGGACGGGGCTCGTTCCTGAAATGCCCTTCCACTGAGCCGGCGACCAAACCCGGGAGATGTGAACTGCAGCTCCATGAAAGGCCATCTGACCCGGGCTGCAGGGAGGGCCCAGACCAAGCAGGTCGTTGACAGCACCGGCCTCCAGAACACCCCAGGAGGCCCCCTGGGAAGCCAGGGCAGTGGGTGATCAGGTTCCAGGCCTCGGGACTCGCAGCTCAGTGCCCCCTTCCCAGCCCCTCCCCCCGGTTCCTCCCCCTGTCCTGAGGAGAGTTCCATCCCATGTGCATGGGGGCCTCTTGGGTGCCAGGGCCGGGTACGTCTCCTGGGGGCCAGTCTCACATGAACCTGGCTCCTTGCTGGGGAGGCAGGGGAGGGGCTGGGCCCTCAGCAGGGGCTGACCGAGTGTGCAGAGCCTCTCCGGGCTCCGAGGGACGTGCTCAGTGGCCCCTGGTTTATCCAGAGCATTGAGCACCCCCAGGTCCCTGGCTGGAGCCCCCTGGACGGGAACGTGCTCGTCCAGGCACTTGTCGAGCCTGACAGGACTTCCTGAGCCCTGTGGCCCGAAGAATCTGGCCAGGGCCTCTGTCCAGGGGCAGCCAAGGGGGAGATGAGTAGCCATATTGAAGGAAGGAGGGGACAGGGCCTTCAAGAGAGGGGGGGCTCTGAGGTCGCGGAGGAGCGCACCCCTCCTCGGAGGTGGCTGGGAGGTGGCCTGAGGAGGGATCCTGAGTCGGACCTTGCTGGAAAGGCGGGCGGGGAGGGCCTCCTCGCGGGGAAGCTGAGGCGCAGAGGCCGGGGAGCAGTCAGTATTTCTGTCCCGTTTGCTAGCTGCTGTCAACTGGATAACGTTGGCCTGCAGCCCGGAGCCCCTGAGGAGGAGGAGGGGACTGTGAGCCAAACAATGTAGGGGTGGGGTCGCCGCGGAGGGAGGCCTTGAATGGCAGCTGGTGCAGGAGTTCGACCCTCTGCTGCGGCTGCGGGAGCCGGACGGTTTCTGACGGAAGAGGGGTGATGGGCTGAACCGTGTGTTTCTGGGCATCTTCTGAGCGGAGAAGGAACAAAAGCGATGCCCCCCTCAGTAGACTGTTCCGGCCGCCCGGGCTGCAGGCTCGCTGCACACTCCAGCCCAGAGCTCCAGGCTCCCAGGGAGCAGGGCCTCCCTCCGGCCGCAGGAGGGGTGTGAGCGCTGGCGCTGTGCTCTCATACCCGGGCTCCAGTTACCCCTTCAGTTGCCCCTCGAAGAAAGCAGCCCACGCAGAGTCCCCCACAAAGCCTGTGGAATTTCACTCTGGGCGAAACAGCTCTGAAATGGCAGGAGGTAGGGTTGGCGCAGCTTCCAATGGGGGCACTGGGCTGGCAGAGCAGGGGGGTGATGGCTGCACACGGGCCCAGCTCTGACCAGAGCACCAGCTGGACCTCTGCCCCCTTTACCGGCTGCCCACCCACGTCAGGCTAAGCCCCTTGGCATTGCCCTCTGGCACAGTCTGCCCCAGACAGCACCCTTTACTTGTGTTACCCTATGGACACTCACTGGCCCTGGGAGGCTGGTATTACATGCCCCCATTTTACAGACGTGGAAGCGGGTTGGAGAGACGTGTCATCGCCCGGGTTCTGGATCCAGGTCCTGTCTAGCTCTTCCCATGCTCTGAGCAGGGCAGCGCGGGCACACGGGAGGCTCGTGCACACTCCCAGCTCCCACGCCACCGCCCGGCAGGGCCAGTCTGACAGGCAGGGCTGCTCCCGCTCCACGGCAGACCCGAAGCAGCGTGGGAGCAGGGAGGACAGAAACAGCAGCCATGAGAAGGGTGGCAGGCAGCCAGACGGCGAGGACACACAGAACATGGAGGGTACATTGGGGTTCATCTCAGTGCCCAGCCTGCAGATTCTGCCCACTTTGGTTCTGTTCAGCCTCATGGGGGCTATGGAAGCAGGACAGGGACACGTTTTATACCCACTTCACAGACGAGGACACCAGATGCGCCCAGTGGCTCTCGGTGGGGCAGCCTAGAGCCTTTGGGGTCCGTGGAACCTTCCAGCCCCAGCCCACTCAGCTCTGCCTTCCACACGCGTTCACATGGAGGTTTGGTTGTGTCTGCTCAGGAAAGCGCAGGACCCACTGCAGGCCCCGCCCTGCTTCCAGAAGCCCAGCCCCCCTTGCCTGTCGGGACAGGCAGATGGGACCCCAGCCCAGCAGCCACATTCCTGCTCAGTGAGGCTGGGGCAGCGGTGTGAGTGCGGAGTCAGCCAGGCAGGGGACAGGCAGGCTTCTAGTCCCCCTCGGTCCCCCACCCGCTGTGTGCCCCAGGGCAGGTTACTTCCCCTCTCTGCCCCTCACTGTCTCACTTAAGGGAGGGGTTTGAAAGGGCTGCACTTGGAGTACCTTTCACACCAAACTTCTGTGAGTCTCAGGAACGTCTACTGAAAACAGAGAAATGGGTAGCACATTGGAAAAAAATTTACATTCAAGTCGTTTAAATCAAACATTATTTAAAAAACAAAAACCATCGCCAAGAGGCCCAGCGGGCAGTTTTCATGGTGGGCGCAGCTGCTCAAGCCACAGAAATGGAGCGTTTGGGAATTAAACGGGGTCCTTATTTCTGTCCAGTGAGCTCGCTGCCAGGAAAGAGAGCCCAAGGCCCGGGCTGAGGACTCCAGGAGAGGGAGACCCCACGTTTGGCTGGTCGTGGCCCTCCTGCCAAGCTGGTGTTGCCTTCTGCAAAGGAACTAATTTTCTCTTTATTCTCAGTGACGATGGTTGAGCCCTGCCATTGGTCTCTGAGCACAGCAGAGTCCACACCAGGAAGGGCCTGGGACTCGAGCATGTGTCGGGCTGTGGGATTCACACCCACACCTCCTTTCCCAGCCAGCGCTGAGCCGAGGGGACCCCCCCCACCAGCCTCCACCTGCATCTCTACGGGGCTGGCACTAGAACCTACCTCACAGGGGTCTGGACTAAGTGAGATGCTCCTTGCTGAGCACATAGATGACGCCCAGCCCGTGCTGGGAGAAATGGGGGTTATGGTTATTATTACTATTTGGGCACCATGTGACTGCTTCCCATCCTCTTTCCCAACCAGCCGGAGACCCCCGAGGTGAAGGCCCTGCAGGACCGGCTGGCAGCCGCAAACCTGAAGATGAGTGACCTCCGCAACCAGGTCCAGTCTCTGAAGCAGGAGCTGCGGATGGCCCAGAAGGTATTTCAGGGCCAGGCTTCAGGTGTTGGCTGGATCGGGAAGGGACAGGACAGGGACAGTGGGTTCATTCAGGACCAGTGAGGGCTTGGCCCCGTGAGCATCACGCTGCTTGCTCTGGGTCAGGCTCCAGCTCCAGCAACTTCCTTCCACCAGCCCTGAAAGCAGACCCATGTGGCGCGTGGGGTCACCGGCTGCCCGAGGGGGCTGGCATGCAGGCCCTGTGGTGCCTGCTGTCCACCCAGGGAGAGTCCTTAAAATCTTCCTTGTGCTGAGTGCACCCCAATAGATCCTGGGTCTCTCCTTCATAAGCCACCTTGGACTTGGAAGCCTGACAAGACCTGCCTCCTGTCCTCAGCTGTCTGTAATATTAGAAAATGAATAGGTTGTTTGTGTATTAAAGTCCCCTTTCAAAGGAAAATATTCGGGCTTGGGATGCAGGCCCAGCTGGTTCATTATTTATTTTATTTACACAGTGAATTCTCTGGCATTTGTCTTTCCTGCTGGAACCACTCAGACCAGCCAAGATTTCCAAAACAGCGCTCTATTGTAGAAACAAGCAGCGCGGGAGACGGTGCACTAGATCAGGTTTCCGTGCCGGGCTCCAGGGGCCCAGGACGCAAGCCTGCAGGTGGGGCCCGAACCCCCCGTCCACAGCCCAACACTGGGCCCCCCCGGAACTGACCGTCCCCGACTGACATTCCGAGGCCCCTCTTCCTTGCTGCACTCAGACATGGCCCCTGTCGGTGGCTTTCCACAGAGGGCGAGACCCTGTGGCAAGGGCTTCCGGCAGCCGCCCACGCGAGCTCAGTCCTAGGTGACCAAAGGAAGGAAGCAGATTTTGGTCAGTGTTGTGGTTCACTCATCCCAAATATGTTGAGAGCCAGGGGCCCCACCTGGGCGTTGTCGGCAGTCCCTCCTCTGCGCTAAGCATCTCCCAGAAATGCTGAGGATGAGGGCCCACTGCCGTCTCAGGGACAGCTGCTCCTGCAGCGGGCCAGCTGGCCTCCGGGGCGCAGGAAGGTTGTGAGGCAGAGGCTGGGCCTGCTGGGAGCCCCGCGCACCCAACCCCGCTCTGAAGGGGCAGCAGGTCCCACCGAAGGCCCCGCCCCTTCCAGGTGCTGGCCAGTGAGGCTGGGGAAGACGTGAACATCCAGCAGCTCCTGTCCTCGCCAGGGACCTGGAGGGGTCGGGCTCAACAGATTCTCGTTTTGCAGAGCAAGGTGAGTGAGTCATCAGACTTCTCCTGGCCCTAAACACGGGGCTTGAAATGTCCCAGAAAGACCCACACGGACCCACATCAAGATACAGGACCCAAAAAAGGCCTCCTGCAGGGTCGTCATTTCACATTCTCCCCAGCCAGCCTGATTTTAATTTGTTATTTAATGAACAGTCATTTATGTAACAGTTACCATGTGCCAGGAACTGGTGCTTTGCAGAGCCAAAGCCTTTGATTTATTCGACTCCAGGCACATTTTTTCTTAGTTCATGTACATTTGCGTGACAGTGTACTTGTAGGCTTCTCCCAGTTTTGTCCAGATGCTTGTAGACTTTTGAAAGTCTTAATGACCCAGTAAAAACTCAGCTTTGTCTCCCTCTTTGTGTTCTAAATATTTGGAGGCTGAGCAGGGGCTCCAGAGCCCGACTGCTTGGGCTCAAGTCCTGGCTCTCCGCTCACAGTGGTGTGGCCCCGGGAAGTTACCACAGCTCTGTGCCTCGGTTTGCTCGTCTGTGCACAGTGGGTTATGATGGAACCTGCCCATGGGGCCGTCGGGAGGGCCCTGCGCACAGTGGGTTATGATGGGACCTGCCCACGGGCCGTCGGGAGGACCCTGTGCACAGTGGGTTATGATGGGACCTGCCCACGGCCCGTCGGGAGGTCCCTGCGCACAGTGGGTTATGATGGGACCTGCCCATGGGGCCGTCCGGGGGACCCTGCGCACAGTGGGTTATGATGGGACCTGCCCACGGGGCCGTCGGGAGGGCCCTGCGCACAGTGGGTTATGATGGAGCCTGCCCACGGGGAGTCGGGAGGGCCCTGCGCACAGTGGGTTATGATGGGACCTGCCCACGGGGCCGTCGGGAGGACCCTGCGCACAGTGGGTCATGATGGGACCTGCCCACGGGGCATCGGGAGGACCCTGCGCACAGTGGGTTATGATGGAACCTGCCCACGGGGTGTCGGGAGGGCCCTGTGCACAGTGGGTTATGATGGAACCTGCCCACGGGGCGTCGGGAGGGCCCTGCGCACAGTGGGTTATGATGGGACCTGCCCACGGGGCCGTCGGGAGGGCCCTGCGCACAGTGGGTTATGATGGGACCTGCCCACGGGGCCGTCGGGAGGACCCTGCGCACAGTGGGTCATGATGGGACCTGCCCACGGGGCATCGGGAGGACCCTGCGCACAGTGGGTTATGATGGAACCTGCCCACGGGGTGTCGGGAGGGCCCTGTGCACAGTGGGTTATGATGGAACCTGCCCACGGGGTGTCGGGAGGGCCCTGCGCACAGTGGGTTATGATGGAACCTGCCCACGGGGTGTCGGGAGGGCCCTGCGCACAGTGGGTTATGATGGAACCTGCCCACGGGGTGTCGGGAGGGCCCTGCGCACAGTGGGTTATGATGGAACCTGCCCACGGGGCGTCGGGAGGGCCCTGCGCACAGTGGGTTATGATGGGACCTGCCCATGGGGCCGTCGGGAGGGCCCTGCGCACAGTGGGTTATGATGGAACCTGCCCACGGGGTGTCGGGAGGGCCCTGCGCACAGTGGGTTATGATGGAACCTGCCCACGGGGCGTCGGGAGGGCCCTGCGCACAGTGGGTTATGATGGGACCTGCCCATGGGGCGTCGGGAGGACCAAGGAGTCAGTGTGTTTAAAATGCCCAACACAGTGCTGGGCGTGGAGGAAGCGCTGTACCGAGGTCAGCTGAGCTTGGGTTCCTCTTTTTTGTCTTCAAACCAAGAAAGACCAGCAGGTGTGTGACTGCCACAGTTGCCAAGCACGTTGCCTTAACCCTAGGGACTTCAGGGTCACAACTCCTGGGTGGCTTTTATCCTCAGAGTCTCCTGTGGGGTCTTGGAAGCCAACATGAAGGGGGAAAGGTCTCCAAAAAACTGTAATTAATGACCAGCGTGTGGCCTTGGGGTTCAAGAGACCCAAGTGTGAGTCTGGCCTGAGTCACTGATCCACAAGTTCTGTGACCTTGGGCAAATCACGTCTCTGTGCCTTAGTCTCCTCACTTGTGAAATGGAAACGCTAGTCCTTTGCTCATGGGTTGTGATGGGTTAAATGAAATAGCCTTTGTAAAGCACGGTGCTTGGACATAATAAGCACTTAACACAGTCATTGTTAAATTGTGCAAATAAATCATTAAAAGTAATCCTGTGTTCTTTAACGCTTAATGGAATTACCACACAATGCCACACGAGGGCGCTGACATGTGCTTTCACAGCCGTACCGCTGCCCTTGCCTGGTGAGCCTGGTGAATTTTGCCCAGGCGCAGGCTTCCCAACTTTGTTCCATCGTTTATGTTGTGTTGACATGGGAACCAGAGTTAGAAGGACCCTAGGAATTGTCCACTTCGACCCCAGTGCTATAAACCATCTACCGGCCCCTTGCGGAGAGTCTGTGAGGACTGGGTCCAGTGCTGAGGCCTTAGGGTTGCTCAAGGCTCTTGTTCAAAACGCAGGCCCAGGACCCTTCCCCTGGAGGTCTGACGTGTTTGTGTGGAGTGGGTCCCAAGCTTTGTCATTCCAAGAGGCTCAGACAAGTTCAGGGTATACCCTCAGGGCCATTTCACAGATGACAGACCTGAGGTTCAGAGAAGGTGAGTAATCTGTGCAGGTCACACAGCCAGTGCGGCCCTGAGCTGGTCTCGGCCTCCCCCCATCTCCTCTACAGCCTCTCTTGCCAGGGGCCAGGACCTGGGGCCTCCCGAGGAGCACAGCACATCTTGGGTGGTCTTCCTTGTCCTGAGACCCTCCCACAGCTCCTTCCCAGGTTCCTGGGGCCCCCATCTGCTTCTTGGCCTCAAGACTCTCAGAGATGGGGGATTTTTCTCATTTACTTTGAAGTTTCTCTTTTCTAGTGTCTTCTTGTTTTGCTCAAGGTGCCACCTCAGATCCCTCCCCACCCTGGTCCCTCTCATATGGGGCTTCCACATCCATCTGGCTCTGTGGTGCCCTCTGTCTGGCGGGGTCTCCCGTCACACCTCAGGGCGGCCTCTCCGCGGGGTCGAGTCTGACTGCAGCCTGGTTGTGGAACAACGAGTCTCGCCACCCTCAGGTTCGAGAGCTGGAGAAGCAGCTGGGGCAGACCCAGAGCCGGTCTGTGGGAACGGCCAGCGACGAGCTGTCTGTCTGTCCAGACCCGAGGAAGATGTCGGCACAGGAGAAAAACCTGCTGAGGATCCGTAACCTGGAAAGGGAAAAACAGGAAGGCTGGGAGGTAATGCATGCCCGGGGGGGGTGGAGAGGGGGGACCAGGACCGCCCCTGCAGGGCGTAGCGGCAGGAGACCGCGGCGGGCCAGGGATGGCGGGGTCACCTCTGCACATGATCCTCACGTCCTGTCCACCCAGCCGAGCCGCCTGACTGGATCCTCACCCTGAGCCCATCGCATGAACTCGGGGTGGCCCCATCCTGCCCACTGGGAGACGCTGGATGTGAAACTCGCTCTGTGAAGGGAGAGGAAGGCGTCCAGCCCCAGAGCTGTGCAGAGCTGGGTGGCTCTAGAGGAGGGGCGCCCGGGCTGCCGAGGGAGGGCAGGCTGGCGTCAGCCCAGGGCCTGCCCTCCCTGCCCACAGGGGCGGTCAGGAGCCAGACTGCCAGGCTGAGCCATGAGGGGTGTCGGCCCTTGTGGCTGACCAGTCTGGAGGTGGCCTAGCTCCGGCACGGGTGGGTCCAGAGAGTTGGGGCCTGGTCTCAGCACCAGGGTTAGCTTCACTCTCACCCATGGGGACTCCTGAGGGTCCCAGCTGCCATCCTCCAGCCAGCCCCACAGAGGGATTCCTGCCCCCAAGAGTTAAGCCCCAGAATCAAGTGTCATTGCCTGGCTTAGGCCTGTCCCCATCTTAGCTCAGCCAATCGCTGTAGCTGCGGGTACAGGATGCTTTGATTGGCCAAGCTTCACGTATCTGACCCCAGGACTGGGGAATGGGTCAGCCTCCCCAAACTCCATCTGAGAGTGGGGAGTAGGGGCTTCCTTGAGGAGGAGGTGCTGGCAGCCCGAGGGAGTCGCTTCGGTGACCCCGGCCATGGGCTTCCTAACGGCGAGTCCTAACAGGGAGGCTTCCGTTTGTGAGCACCCTGTGCTGGGCCCTGTGCTCGGAAGACTGACCAGCGCCACGCGGTACCTCCCGTATTCCTAGACCAGCAGGTTCAGGAAGGGAACGGTGAGACGGGCCGGGCCAGCAGGACCCTATGTGCTGGCCAGGGATTTGGGCTTTTCTCTCAAAGGCAGTGGAGAGCCGGCAGAGTGTTAAGTTGTGGAGGGCCGAGGTCAGCATGTGTTTTGGAAAGGTCACAGGGTCAGGCCTGGGGGTGGTCGAGGGGGCATGGGAGGCAGGAGACATGACCAAGGACCTGCACCAAGATGGTAGGACTCAAGTGGAGGGCCGGGACCCTGGGATGTTGAGGGTTGGCCTTATGGGGCTCAGTGGCTGATGAGGAAGGGACGGAAGGAGGAAGGATGACAAAGGACTTCCAGTGAGCGTGATGGGCTGGCAGGGGACACAGAGAGGTTTCCAGGGAGATGGGAGTGGAGATATGAAAATGCTGGGTTTGGGGAGCACCTTGGCGGACGGACACGTTCACACAGGGTATGGGGGACCTAGCAGACCATTCGAAGCCACAGTGTGTGCAGTAGGAAGTGGTTTCCTGTGTGCACTTCCTGCTGGGCGCCCCCAGGGCCTGGGGCGTGCGGACAGCAGAGCGACTGGGGAGCAACGCCTGCCTCCCTGCGAAGAGCTGTGGTGGTGGATCCCTCACGTTCTCCTGGTCTTCATCTCTGTAACTCCCTTCGCCAAGGATCTGAGAGTCTTTTCCAGCAATAACTAACCAGGACCAAGTCAGATTCTGGCATCTGCTGCTCCTCACCCTCCTCGGTGTTTCAGTCTCGGCTCTGAGGGTTTACTCTAATCTGGCCTCGGCCCCTCGCTCACTGGGCTCCAGCCATACATGTTCCACCCCAGGGCCTTTGCACTTACTTTCTTCTCCTTCAGTCTCCGCTCAGATGCCCCCTTTTCAGAGAGACCTCCCCTGACGATAGCACTGCATTCCCTCTCCCTTCTCAGTGAGCGGTTATTGCCATCTGTCTCCCCCAGGAGGGTATCAGCTCCTTGGGGACGAGGACTCTGGTTCTCGCCTGTAGCCCAGCTCCTATAACAATGCCAGGCACATAGTGGGCCCTCGGGAAGTGTTGGAGAAGGAATGAATGAACGAGAGGCTCCAAAGGCGTTTGCAGCGCTGAGTCCCAGTCTGGCTGATTAGCCGAGGAGTCTGGGGTGCTGTGCTTGAGGGAGTGAGCTGATGGAGTGGTGGGCGGGGCCTCCTTTCTCATGCTAGCCCGCGGTGGGCACTTCAGCCTGAACCCTAACTGAGTGCTCAGGCAGGGTGGGGGTGAGGACAGACCCCGAGGGGGCCAGGGCGTCTCCTCTCACGTCTGACTCTGGCAGAGCAGGGACAGCTGCCTGATCACCTTGTGCTTGAGCTGAGGGAAGGAGTGCTGTCACCCACTGGTGACGTTTGCCGTGTGCTCCAGCGAGGGCTGGAGTCAGGGCCCCGGCTCCACTGACTTGCTCTGTGGCCTTCGACAAGCCCCCGTCCCCTGCTGGGCCTCCCCGGTGAGTGGGAGCGAGGAGCAGGGTGTGGATGAGGGCCCGCTCAGCCCGCTGCCCAGGACTGCACTTTCTGGTTCCAGAAACTCGCTGGTGAGCGGGATGCCCTCCAGAGAGAGCTTGACGAGCTGAAAAAGAAGTTCGAGGGCGTGAGGTCCCGGAACAAGGTGCTGTCCGGCGAAGTGAAGACCCTCAGGAGTCAAATGGGGACCCTAGTGGAAAAGGGCCGGCATGACGATGAGCTCATTGATGCCCTCATGGTACGGCCCAGCGCTCAGGCAAGGCAGCCCCAACCCCTCCCAGTCTTCCCTTGTCCTTCCTGAACCACGGGTCACGGCGACCCTCCTGCCCTCCCGCTTGGCCCCAGGACCAGCTGAAGCAGCTGCAGGAGATCCTGGGGAGCCTGAGTCTGCAGGAGGAGAAGACGCGCGCATCCCAGCACCGCCTGGACCAGCAGCTCAACAACGAGGCTCAGCAGAGCAGCAGCCTGGTCGCCCAGCTGCAGGCCATGGTGGCCGAGCGGGAGGCCAAGGTGCGGCAGCTGGAGCTGGAGCTGGGGCAGCGCGGTGTGCAGGTGAGGAGGGCACCGGCTCGGCCCAGCACCCGCTCCCAAGTCCTGGCCGGTCCACCCACCACCATGCAGAGACATCTCAGCCACTTGCACATCTTTCACCTGCCTTTGTCCGAGTGACCCCACACCCTACTGGCTCCACTTTGGCCCCCTGATTCCATCTGGCTCCCCAGCCATTCTGCACACCCCTCCCCTCTCAGGTACAAACGGATTGTCTCCCTGCTCTGCATAAAACTGTCCACGGCTCCCCATCATCCTTGCCCTCAGCCACTCCTCGAGGTTCTGGGCTCCTTCCAGCTCACCCTCTCCCTCCCCAGCGGTGGCCCTTATCCTCATGATCCAAGGTGGTGGCTAGAGCGCCAGCCTTCACATTCACATTCCAGGTAGTGGGAGCCACACTTCCTCCTCCAGCTGGCAGGGCACCACGTGACCAGCTCATGCTGCCACCCTCCCTTCCCCCACACTCTGGCCGCAGGGATGTCATTTAGCTCCTCACACGCCCTGCCCGTTCCCACTCCAGGCCTGTGCACATGACTCCCCTCCCCCACCGCCCTGCCTGGCCAGCTGCCCCTCAGCGCTTAGTATGAGCGCCTCCAGGAGGTGCCAGGGCCCCCGTTCTCTGTTATGTACCCCTCCTGGGCTCTCTCTGAACTCCCTGTACATCCCCAAGCCAAACTTTTGTTACACCATGTGACCGTTGTCTGGTTGTCCCCCAAACTCCCGTTGAGACACAGACTAAGGTGGCACCCATCACAGTGGACACTCAAGACATGATGTCCAGTGCACGAGCTCCTTCCTGAAGATGTCCTGCCGCCTCGGATGCCCTGGGTGCCGCTGGGGCTGCTAGGAGCGTGGCCCCTTCCTAGGGCGACGGTGGCACTGGGGGCAGGGAACTCGGTGGCCTCTGGGAGAAGGGTTCCTAGACATTCACACAGGCCTCCAGTGGCAGAGGAGCCGCCCCGCCAGGCTGGCTGGCACCGCCGCGGCGTGTCTCAGAGCAACCCCGCTCTGTTCGCAGGGCTCTGTGGTCCGGGCGGAGGCTCGGGCGCCCAGGGAGCCCTGAGCCTGGGCTGGTGTAGGCGTTTGTCCCGCAGCCGTCACCTCCAGGGCAGCCGGGCCACAGGGTTGGCTGTGGAGGGGAGGCTGAAGGAGAGCCGGGGGCAAGGAAGGCCTGGGGACAGAGCATGTGTGACAGTGAGTGGGGCGTCTCCTTGAGGCCTCACCCTGCTCCTCACCCAGGCCCCTGGGAGCGACGTCTGAAGGGGCACACGGGACATTGCAGCATCTTCACCTCGCCATTCTCCTGGCTCCAGGTACACTAAAGAGGACTGAGCCTCCCCTCCAAGGTCCCCAGCCGCCTGGGGCAAACACTCCCCACCAGACAAGTCGGCGATGCTGCGAGTTTCCTCAGGGCGGCTGGGGCTGGGGTGCCAGGTTGCTTGTCCACTCCTTGTTGGCCTCCTGCTGGGGTCCCCCAGTGTTCCTTCTTCAGCTGGCCCTCACCAGCCAGCCGTCCTGAGACGGGGAGGGGGAGAGGCCTGGGAAGCCAGCCCGCCCCAAGGTTCTCAGCCCTGCTAGACGCTCCGGCTCCAGGGGTCGGGAAGACCCAAGCGTCCAGCCAGCAGAGGCAGGTGGCCTCAGGTCACACCTGGCCGTGTAGGCGGGGCTGCGGGGGGGCCCACGCAGGACATCAGTGTGTGACCGCCCACAGGCCTTGCACTTCCCTTTGGGACCAGAATGTAGGGCAGCTTTCTGGCCCGGTCACTGTCCTCGCACCATGTGGCTCCTTTCTGAAGGAGGCTTTATTCGATGTCATTGTCATGCAGGCAGGGCCTCCGCCAAGCGGCCTCACTTTCACTCCTGAAAAGAAGCTCTTTCATGTCCCCTGGCAGCCCCGAAGCCGAGCCAAGGCCCCTCCTGCCTTGTCCGGGCCTCTGAGCCAGGCCCTGAGAATGGACCCCTGTCTGTCCTTGCAGTACCATCGAACTGAAGGAGTGGGAGAGGGATCCAGTGGGCCCGAGGTCAGCTCCGTCCACGCCAAGCCCCCGGCCTCGGCAGGCGATCACGTGGGCAGGCCCGGGCCTTCTCGGTGAGTACGAGCCGGGCTGGAGGGGTCGGGAGTGCACGTGAATTATTCCGAAGGAAGGACGTTCCCGCGGCGGCTGGGAAGCCGAGGGCGCAGTTCGAAGATGGCCGTGGTGTGGCCCCTCCAGTCCCGGCCTCCCCCGTTCCGTTAGCGCCGCCTCTGCAGGAAGGAGCATCGGGCCAGGCGCGACCTCCAGAGCGCTCCCTGTAAAGGCCTCTCGGAACTCACCTGCCTCTGGGTTCACAGCACAGACCTGGGTTGAATTGTTCGAGGCTCTGATGTCTCCTGGTTCTCTCGTTTTGAGCAAGAGTTCTGGAAAGAAGAGCGGCAGACGCACAGGCTGCGACGAAGCGGCACTGGCCCCTCCGCGGGCACCGCCCAGCTGGGGAGGCCCGGCCTGCCCGCCCGTGTGACAGCCCTTCTGCCCTCACACAGCTCTGTGACCAGCCTGGGCCACACGCTCGTGGAATCGGCTCTCACGTGGCCTTCCCAGCCCAGTCCTCACGGGGCCTCGCCCAGGTGAGAACCCAGGAGCCGCGGACGCTCAGTCCTTCCCAGTCTTGACTGCGCGGCTGGGACTGCCTCCCATTGAAAGGAGGGGAAACTGAGGCCAGACCAAGTCCAGGAGCTCTTCCAAGGTTACGCGAGGTCATGGGCGGTCTGGAGGCCAGTGCCTTGCCCCGGGCGACAGGCTTCAGAACTGGCCTTGGCCTCTGATTTGCAGACTGGTGTCCCTGCGGCCTCAGGGGACAGGAGGCGCCAGGGCCTGCAGCCCGCACCTGCCCTTGTCTTCTCTTGCCCCTGAGAGCCGGTCTCCAGGGGAGAATCCACGTCACATGCCTTCCCGCCTGAAGGCACTGATACCCTCAGTCCTCTGGCCCCATCTTTGTGACAGAATCAAGCCTCAGTGCAAAAAGGCTCTTTGTTCTCCCTGCCAGCTCGCAGACAAAGGGTGGCTCTGTCCTGCCTCAGCCCTGTCCTGAGCCCTGCCCACTGTCCGCTGGGACCGTGCCCCGCTGTCCGCGCGCCCCACCTGCTCCCCACCCCGCGGGCACCTCAGCTCAGGTTCTGTCAGAGCCGCTGGGGGGCGGGTCCCACCTTGGACCTGCTGTGTGGCTCTGGGGAAATGGGTCCGCTCGGGGCTTGTTTCCCGAGAAGAGCCTGAGACACTTCTGGCTCGACATTTGCCAGCACTTGGACGGTGGGCCAAGGCCAGCCCTGCGGCTGCCCCACTCATCCTGGAGTCAAGGGGCACCTGGCAGGGAGGGGCCAACCCTGAGCCTTAGGGCTCATCCCGCGGTCCTCTGCCAGCCGCAGAGAGCGGGGAGGCTCTGCCTCCGGAGGCTTTAGTCACAGCAGCAGGAGCAGGGAGACGGACAAGGTCACCCCTTGAGGTTGCTCCCGGCCCCTGTGGCTGTGACCTTTACATTACATGGATGTGGGAGCCAGTGTGCTGGGCCACCCACCTGCTGGTCCCCACGCTGTTTCTCCACAGCACACAGACATTTACTGAGCCCGACCGCCTGCGGGCCTGCCTTCATGGAGCCTCCAGTCCCCTCGCGTCGGTGGCAGGACCAGTGTGCATGGGCGGGGTGACCGCAGAGAAGGTGTCTGTCAGGGACGGCCTGGAGACTGGGGGGTGCCTGGGAGCAGGGGGTGAGGGAACCGGCTCCTTCCTCCTGCCGCTCACCCCGACGTGGGAGACCATGGACACGACTAGAAGGCTTTCCTGACTGGTGCACACACAGACCAGCTGGGATCTGCCGGGTTAGATGTAGGTTTGGATTTGGCAGCAGGTCTGGGCCAGGGACTGGGATCCTGAGTTTCCAACAAGATCACGGGTGATGGCCCAGCCCCGACTCAGAGACCACACTCTGAGCAGCAAGGCCTTAGAGGATATTTATGAGTCGGAACATGGAGAAGCCTCCATCCTCAGAGCCTGTGTCAACCATCCCCATCCCTGTGCAGAGGGACACCTGGGGCAGAGGGGGAAAGAGACCTGCCCAAGACCGCAGAGCGCGTTAGCCTCTGGGCTCGTGTCCTGCGTCCCCTGATGTTGGAAGAGCAAAGCCAGGGTCACCAGGGTCTCACTGGGAAAGGAGAGGGCACAGCAGAGGGCAGTGTGGGATTCACACGTGGCTTTGGGGGTTGCGGGGAGGGCAGAGCGTATCTTCTGTCCTGACCCCAGCCAGCAGTGAAGGGCTGCTCGGCAGGCCCAGTGGTCAGGAGGGAAGCAGCAATGGCCTGAATCAGGTCTGGGGAAAACAGACCAAGTCACAAAGCCAGGTGTCTGGGCTTCCAGACTTGGCTGGGCTCGGGTCCAAACCAGATGTGCAGGAGGGCTGGAGCAGGCTGGCACTGGGCAGGGAAGCCAGGCCCCAGGCCACACAGGTACCCAGGGCACCCCAGGTCCCCAAAAGCCAACTTCTGTAGCCGCCAGACTGATTCCAAGGCCCTACAGGGACTGGATGAGCAGAGAGGCTGATGCCACTGTAGCCCTGGTGGGGCTGGGTGTGCAGCCAGGTCACTGAGGTCCGGAGACTTCAGCAGGGCCAAGAACGGAGGGCTGAGGGGAGCCAGGGAGGACCAGGAAGGCCAGGAGGGACTAGGTGGATTCCTTCTCTCTGGCCATCTCTGAGGACCCCTGAATGCCCTTCAACTCTGCCACCGTCACAGTGCGTCTTCGCGTAACCCCTCAAATGACCTCCTGCCCCATCCTGCCCCCAGGTTCTCGGACTCCCCAGAACAAAAAGGCTGGCAAGCCCAGGTGACCGAGCTCAAGGCCCTTTGGCAGGCCACCGAGGTGGAACGCGACCGGCTCACCCAGTTTGTCGCAGTCCTGCAGAAACGGTAACTCGTGGGCTCAGGGACTCACTTGCATGGGCCTGAGTGGGTTGGGGTGGACAGCCTGGCACAGGGCATCTCTCGGGGATGGGGCCAGGCCTCGTCCACGGCTGCCTCCACCTGACTGGAGAGTTCGGCTCCCACAGTGTTGGGCCAGGGCGTTCCCAGACACAGCGCACGTCCCCACCCAAGTGCCCCACAACTTGGCGCCCTGTCATCACTGGCTGGCCCTGTCCTGTGGAGCTGTTGCAGGCAGTGGGCATGAGGTGGGAGTCTTGGGAGAGGCTCCCCGGAGTAGTTAAGTCAGTCAAAGCAACCGCCAGTAGTTAAGTGTGGTGAGCGCGGCACTGTCCTGGGCGGCACTCGGGCGAGACCGGCGTCAGGGATGCAGAGGAAGGGAGCAGCTAGTGTCCGGGAGGCCAGGGAGCGAGTGGCCCAAGGCAGGGAACCAGGAGGTGGTTTTCTCCAAGGGGTTGTTGACAGGCTTCCATTCAGATAAATCAGCGCTCCTCACTCAAGTGACCCTTTTGGCAGGAAATGCAGGTGCCCGTGCCAACACATGGCCCAACCACGTGACCCCACAGTGAGAATACACAGGACACTGTGAGTTCCCGCCCTATTCGGCCATATCACATGTCAGTCAGGGCTCTGGTGACAGGCAGGAGAAACCAATTCTGGCCAAGTGAAGGGAAAGGCAGATATTCAAAGGATGCTGGCCAACTCCCAGACCAGAGCAGGAGAGCAGCCCAAGAAGGCCCAGGAGTCTTGGTAGCAGGAACCCTGGCCGTGTCCCCTGGGCCGCGGGAAGGGTGAAGACCCAGAGGCATTTGGTTCCAGTCCTGTGGTTCTGGGAGAGAAGGCCTAGCCAGCCTGGTCGCTCTCGGGCCCCTCCCTGGACACAGGCCAGGCACCGGTCGGAAGTACTTGCAGGTGCTCACAGATGGAGGAGGGGCGGTATGCCAGAGAGAAGAAAGAATACCGCTGCCAGGGGGGTAGGGGAGCTGGGGAGCGGTCCCCGGGCCCAGCGGGCAGTGAGAAGCAGTCGGTGCTCTCTGTCATCTTCTCCTGCAGTGCGCAGGGAGGGCCTGATCTTCAGACGCACTGGGCCTGTGAGAAAACTAACAGCAATCGTCGTCTGTAATGCAGGGGTGTGGGTAGTTCGGCCCGCGGCCCATCGGGTGGAAGAAACACTCCACTCGGGCTTTCTCCCCCGTTCCCTTTGAGTTGCTCCTGGGTTTCGGGCTTTTGTGAACCAAGGTGGCCCAGTGATCTATTTCTGCATTAGAAACCACCCCAAGTGTAGTGGCTTCAAACACCTTGGTTTATTCCTCCTCATGACTCTGTGGCTTGCCTGCTTGATTCTGCTTCACACAAGCCAGCCAGGATCACTCCCCTGGCCCCATTCCGCTGGAGCTGGGGGCTGCTCAGTTCTCCTCACGTGGCCTCTTGTCCACGTGACACCTCGCCTCCCAGGGCCTCTCCACGCAGAGCTGGGATCGGGGTGCAGCAAGCAAGGCGCCTGGGGCTCAACCCTGAAGGAGGCACTCCCTCTCAGAGCCCCACACCTGTGATCCTCGCCCAGCTGACACCCCAGACCTCATGGGGTTCACTCTGCTGCTCTGTGTCACTTTGGGGTGTGGGGGAGCTCTGTGAGGCTGTCCCGGACCATTGGCCTTTTCTGCTCTGGACCATTGCTGCCTCCCCGGGCCCTGACAAGGAGAGGGGAGCCCGGCCCTCTCCGAACTCAGATCCCCTCCAGTCTGTTGGATTTCTCACCCCGAACTGCAGGACCTTCCTTTCCAGAGACTCTCAGTGTCCACTCCTCTCTTCACCTGCAGAGTCTGTCCCAGTCTGGCGCAGGGGGAGGGCTTTCCATGTGCAGCTCCCCCTTCTCTTGGACTCTGCTTACAAATTCTGACTGCTTCAGCCCTACCCGATCTTATTCCTGCACCCCAGTGAGACTGCTGTGCTGGGCTTGGGCCCCCCGCATGCCCCATGTGCAGGCAGGGGCCTCAGGCTGAAAGCCCTGTTTCCCGCCCCTCAAGGCCTGTGTCCAGTGTGCAGTGTGTGAAAACAGGACTGTTCTCACGTTCCGTGTTTCTAGTTGTTTACGATAGGAGGTGCTAGCCCCGTTAGTCAGCCATGACAGATGTCACTATTATTTTTGTTTATTTTTTTTTTCTTTATTGATTTTAGAGAGAGAGGAAGGGAGAGGGGGGGAGTGATAGAAACATTGATGAGAGAGAACATTGATTGGCCACCTCCTGCATGCCCCCCAGTGGGGATCAGGCCCACAACCTGGGCATGTGTCCTGGCCGGGAATCAAACCGGCGACCTCTTGGTGCATGGGTCGATGCTCAACCACTGAGCCACACGGGCCGGACTCTTTAAAAGGCATATAGTTTGCTTTGTTTGTAAATTCCATGTAAGAATTTGTATTTGAACGGTAACGTTTAATACAGTCTCATTTTTGTAATATTTAGAAATATTTTGAGCATCTGAATTGATTTTCTACTTGGCATATGTTTTCTTTGCTCTTTTTTTCTTCATTCTTCTCTCTTATAGTATTGGATGGAGCAAGTTTTATTTCCTTGTCTTGTATACACGTTTGGAAGTTACACATTCTATCGCTGTTCTTCCAGTGCTTACCCTTAACTGCTAACATAAAACTCAGACAGTCAAAGGTCAGTGGGGTTTTTTATTTTCTTCTTGAGCAACAGAATAAATTTAGAAAGTGCTGTGATTTCCCTACATGTGTCTTCGTGTTACTATTTTCTAATATTTCCCTCCCATATTCTTTTTTTAAACACTCTGAAATTAACCCTCCAAATCTGTCCCGTTAAAAAAAATAGTCAGTATTCATTTACTTTTGCCAATGTGCTTGAAGAAGTCTTCTCAATGTTACTTGCTCAATCTTCCTTTCGGGCTCAGTTTTGTTTTGTTTTGTTTACTGAAGTGCACCCTTTATTTAGTTCAGCGAGACCATGTGAAGGGCAAACTCTGAGTCTTTGTTTATTTTTAAATGTCTTTGTTATGCCTTTCTCCAGAGCCAGAGTATAATTGGGCATAGAATTCTAGATAGATGGGTGTTTTTTCTCAGCCTGGGAGGCTGTGACAGTCTTGTCTTTGAGCACCGGCTGTTGCTAAAAAGAAAAGTGCTCTCCTTTGATGTTGTTACTTTGTAGCTGTGCCCTTTCTCTCTGGCTGCTTTTTCAGAGCTTCTCTGTTCTGACATTTTGAAGTTTCACTATGATGTGTCCAGATACTTTATTCTTCTCTTTAGGAAATAGTGTGCTTTCCACCCTTAGGACTTCCATCTACGTATTTCCTCCCCAGCCCCCCTTTGTCCCTATTCTTTTCACCGAAAATTCCTAGTCAACGTGTGTTCCACCTTCTTTTCCTTTTTCCCACTCTTAAACATTCTTAATATTTGAGGCTGATTACTGGGTGGTTTTTTTTTTCACATCTGTCTTCTGACTTACTCATTCTCTTGCGTTGCACTTTGGCTGCCATGAAATCTGTTTTAATAACTGCATTTTTTATTTCTAGCCATTCTTCTTTCTATCGAACCCCCTGTTCCCTTTCTTAAGCATTTGTTCTTTCAATAAGATTTCTTGCCTTTCTCTTTTTAATAATTTTAAGCTCAGTCCCTTTAAGTTGCTCTCTCGTCTTCACTACTTAGGATGCTAAGAAACGTCCGTTGACTCCCCCTATGGTGAAGTATCTCCCGTGTGGTTTGTATTGTTGTTTGATTTTGTGAGTTTAACTTCAGAGTATTTTTTCTTGTTGCCGTTCTTAGGTCATGAAAGTGCCCCTCCAGAATGGTTCTGCTTTTGTTTCTGGGGGCCTTCTGGGGTTTCAGTGGTCTCTGATTGGTAATGTATGCTAATTTACTGGTTTGGGGTTTCCGAAACCCTGAGTGCTGGCCTTGTTTTCAGTTGTCTCATGATCCGTGCTCCCCCCACCGCGGGCCTGGTGGATGGCAGGACTTCTCGCCACTTCCCTGGCTGGGTGGAGACTCAGACCAGAAACCAGGCGCTCGGGCCTCGAGAACTACGCAGAGAGCTGGCTTGCAGCTGTCTTCTCTGAGCCCACGTTCACGTCCTCTGCTCTCACACTGGCATTAAAACCCCGGAGTTATGTGATTGGAAGTTTTATTCGTTTTACTATGACAAACGTGTACTTCTTACAAAAAGCCTCCTTTTCCAACCCCCACAATTTTCTGTTCCTCATAGAAAAGAACTGTTAGAACTTCCAAAATGTTTTCTTTGCACATCCAAAAATATGTATGAATATATATGTGTATATGTATATGCACAATATGTGCACATTTGTATAATTAAAAGATGGGCTCATACTAGACACATCTCTACATTTTTGTGGGAGTAAGTCCATTGTCATAAATTTCTAACAATGGAATCTCTGAATCAAAGAATATGCACGTTTAAAAGGATGTTCACAAATAATGGCAACTTGCCCTTTTAAAATTAATCCATTTACATTCCCCCCCAATAATGGTAACTATTGACCATTTCTTCCCCATGCTAAGTTTTATCAGTTGTTAACATTTTTGCCAAACTGAAAAGGAACAGCAATATCTCATTGTTGTTTTTACCTGCTTTGCAATAACCAAAAGTGGGGATGTATATATTTTTCACACGTTCATGGCCTTTTTCATGTTCTGTTCTGTTAACTGCCTATTATACTATCGTATATTTTTAGTGACTTGTTTCTATGTTTTCTTTAGATCTCTAAAGAGCTCTTTATGTACTATTGATCTTCATAGAGATTTTTTTTTTTTTATCCTCATCCGAAGACATTTTTCCATTTTTTGTACAGACAGAGTGGGAGGGAGAGAGAGGAAGAAAGAGAGAGGGAAACATCGATGTGAAAGGGCCACATCGAGTGGCTGCCACCCGCACGACCAACCAGGGCCGGGGACAAACTGCAACCGAGGTACATGCCCCTAGCGGGAACCGAACCCGGGTCTCTCCGGACCACAGGCGGACGCTCTAACCGCTGAGCCAAACCGGCCAGGGCCTTCATAGAGATCTTATATCATTTGTACTAAATTGATTCCTGGGTATGGGGACGTCCTTATCTGAGAATTCTTTATCACTATTCCAACGGTTACAGTCCTTGTAAGCAAACTTTTTGGCTCAGCAGTTAAGACTGTCGGCCTGTGGACCAAAGGGTTGCAGGTTCTATTCCTGTCAAGGGCACATACTTGGGTTGTGTGATCGATCCCGAGCCCTGGTCAGAGTCGTGTGGGAGGCAGCCAATCTGTGTGTCTCTCTCACATCAATGTCTCTCCCTCCCTCTCTCCCCCTCTCCCTCCCTCTCTCCCACTCTCTCTAAAAAAAAAATCAATGAAAAAATATCCTTGGGTAAGGATTAACAACAAAATATTCACTAATGACTTGATCACTTGATAGTTATCACTTCCCATTGCCATTCTATCCATTTCATCAAACTCTTAAAATAGATAAAAATCAATTACAAAGTAATAAGGGCAGATCTGCCCTGGCTGGTGTGGCTCAGTGGTTAGAGCGTTGGTCCATGCCCCCAAGAGTCACTGGTTTGATTTCTGGTCAAGGGTACATACCTCAGTGGCAGGTTCGACCACCAGCTCTAGTCTAGGGGGGCTGTCAATCGATCGATGTGTCCCTCTCACATCGATGTTTCTCTCTACCTCTCTCTCTCTCTCTCTCTCTCTCTCTTCCCCTCCCTTCCTCAGGTGAGGATTAACAAAATAAATTTTAAAAATGAACTTTAAAAAAGGGCAGATCTTTAAAAATATCTGGAGTTTCATGAGGTTGATGCACACGGTGTTGGAGAGCTGCTAGGACCTCACTCAAAGCCATTGACAAACGAGAGTCCCGCTGCCTTAGCTCAGCTACTGAAGAAGAGCCGGTGAGAACATAGGCCGCTCCAGGGGAGTCCTGGGAGCACCAGTGGGTCCGAGAGGGTCGGAGCGGAAGCTGACGCGGCTGCGCAGGCGAGGAGGGGAGCTGGCTCTGCACTGTCTGCAGGGAAAGCTGTGGGCCCCTGATGGTCAGACCTGGAAGCAGCGGAGGAGGCGGGCGGCTCCCAGGCCACGGCCAAGCAGGAGTGATGGTGACACTGATCAAGAGGCACATTGCGGGAGTGGAGTAAGGTGTCAGCGAGATAACCAGAGACGCACAGCCGAACTGTAAAGGAGCATTTGATTATATCGGCGGGCGGGGGCTCTCCCCAAATCCTCAGCAACCTGCCTTCTTTGCTGCCCGCTTTTAAAGCACAAACTACAGAAAAAAAATAATACATTCTCTTGGCGCCGCTTTGGCACCATTAAGGAGGCTGATACAGAGAAGGGGAGAGAGGAGCTTGTTAGAGGTCAGGGCAACCATTAATCTCCTTTTTCTCATGGTTCCTCTGAGTTTCCCAAGGCCATCATTAACCCCTTATCTTCACAGTCTTCTTCGGGTTTCTCAAGGCCCTTATGTTGAAAGAGTCTGCCAGGGTGCGGACGTGCAGGAACTGAGGGTCAGAATGGAGTCATTACAGGAGCAGGGAGAAATCCGGAGTTCGGTTGTTCCTGAAGTTTGTGGGAATTCATGAAATGCTTTAGCATTTTATGTGGTGTTCGCTGTCAGTTTCATTTATGACTCCCCCATCACGGATGGAATACAAACGTAAACGAAACGCAAGCTTTCGTGACCGATGTAACAAACCAACGAAAGCCCCGCTCCCACAGATGGTAGTCCCCCCTCAGTTCCTCCGCGTAGGTCACGAGCATCCGTGCTTATTTGCTTTTACGTTTTATATTATAAATTTTTAATGAGGTCATATATTATGCACAATCTTCTGCTCCTATTGCACTTAGTAATACATCGCAGATATTCTCTATGTCAGTATAGATTCTTTTTATGGCCACAGAGTATTGTATTAGGTTGATCCACTCTGATTGAAGGTCCAGTTACTGACAAAGGGTGTTCTACGGATTCCTGTGGCTCTTGCTCCTTTTCGCCAGTCCCAGGACTTGGTCTGTGGCGTCTGCACGGTGGCTCTGCCTCGTGCTTTCTCGTTGCCAGAGCAGTGCCAGCCGGCAGACGTCCCGTGACGCGATGTCCACCGTGCCGGCCAGTGAAGTGGTCATTAGCCACGTGGGGCTTTGAGCACTTCCATGCGGCTGGTGTGACCAAGCAACTGAATTTTTAATTCCGTCCGATGATCATTAATTTCAATTTAAATAGCACACGTGCCCATCACGCTGGCGGGCACTGTGCCGACCCGCGTGGCTGTCTCATGTTCTCTCATATTCCACGGTACAAATACGCTACCTCTTGTTCTGTCTCCCCTGTGGATGGACCTTTAGGTGGTTGGAGTCTTTTTGCTTTTGCAGATAAAGTTTCAAGGAGCATGCTCCACTGACTTGTGTTAAGAGGCTGTGTACTGTGTCCGTGTACTGTTTTGTGTTAACAGCTGTATACTTTTCAAAACTGTCACCATTTGGTTCCTTCTTGACTCTTCACCAAGGTGCAAAGACCACTTCCTGCAACCCTGTGAATTCCCCGGCAGCCACTCTGATCTGCATGTGTGTGTGTGAGCTTTGCCTGGGCTAAATCTCGGGGAGTCCGGCTTCCAGATGAACCTGTGGTATCACCCGAGTCGCAAAGGCCACACCCCTGGCCCCAGTGAGATTAAACAAATCTTTCATGTGAAATAACAAGGTCTTCATGGTCCCCGAATTCATGACAGGCATATAGACAAGAACAATTTTAATAACCATAAATAGTAAGCAACTGAAAGCAATCACAACTCCAAGAAAAGCAATAATTAAGAAAGGAATTGTAGGCCCTGGCCGGTTTGGCTCAGCGGTTGGGGCACGTACCAAAAAAAAAAAGAAAGAAAGAGAAGAAAAGGAAGGAATTGTAACCATTGCATGTCTAATGTAACCCCTGCGGCAGGCCGGATTTTGTCCCCAGGACACTGTCTCCGTTCCTGTGCCCATGCATACTGTATATCATAGGCAAAGGGACTCTGCAGATATCATTATTGTTATGGACCCTAAAACAGGGAGATTATCCTGGATTGCCAGGTCGGCCCAGTGTAATCACTTGAGCCCTTAAAAACAGAAATTTCTCCAGCAGGTCTGAGAGAGCCGTGCAGAAGGCATGGAGACCCAGGGGCTGAGCAGGGTCTCTGTCTGCCTTTGACGAGGGAGGGGGCCGAATGGCCTCTAAGAGACGACAATGACCCAGCCAACTACTAGCAGGAATCAGGGGCCTCAGTCCTTCAGTTGAAACTGAATTCTTCCAACAGCCTTAATGAACCTGGAAGCGGAGTGTCCCCCAGAACCTCCAGGTCAGAGCGCAGGTCAGCGAGCGCCTTGGTTCTGGCTTGGAGAACCTGGAGCCGGGACACCAGCAGCGACTGCGGACCCTCTGACCTACAGAGCTGAGCGAGAATAAATCCGTGTCATTTTAAGCTGTTATGTTTATCCTTAAACCTCAAAAATAGCAGCATTGCCCAGGTTGGGTAGCTCAGTTGGTTAGAACATTGTCTTGATACACCAAGGTTGTAGGCTCCATACCTGGTCAGGGCACATACAGGAAGCAACCACTGAATGCATAAATAAGTGGAACAGCAAATCCATGTCTCTCTCTCTCTCTCCCCCCCTTCCACTCCCCTCCTTCCCTCTCTCTCTCTCTAAAAAAATTAAAACAGCAGCCTGAGCATCTATGGAAACAAGGCAGTAAAGAAAGCAACAGCTGTAAGGGTTAGAAGTGCTTGCTTCTGGGGAGCAGGAATTGGGAGGGGGGAGGGTGCCGATTTGTTTCCTTTTCAGCCTTAGAGGGAAAGACAGGATTTTAAAACGCATGTTCCTGTGTCACTGCAACAAAAGTAAGGAAGAACCCGTCCCACCACCAGTGTAAGCTGCGCCCACCTCGCTGAGAGCCAGAGCAGGTGGGGTGGCTGCCCTGGCCGGGCGCATGGCTGAGCCTGAGTCAGGCAGTCAGTCCCTCTGGGTCCCGGCGTCCCCAGGGTGGAGGAGAGCAGCGGCAAGCTTCTGGAGTCGGAGAGGCGGCTGCAGGAGGAGCGGCAGCGCACCGTGGTGCTGGAGCAGCATCTGGAGAAGATGCGCCTGGAGCCCGGGGGCACGGCCGCCCCGAGAGCCGCGTCCAGGAGCAGAGCAGGTAGGGCTGCCCAGAGGCCCAGTGGCCGGCGCGGGAAGCCTGGCGGCTCGCGGAGGAGCCCGTCAGCAGCCCCATGGAGGACCACGTGGGATGCAGAGGCCTCCATCAGGGTGGCGCTCGGCCTGTCCCTGCTGCTGCGCGTCCTCTTCCCCTGGCCTCCGTTCACAACCAGGGGCCCCAGGGTGCCACCCCCAGCTCGCCTGCAAGCCCGTGGGATGAGGTGGCAGTGCCCTGGCTGAATGTCCTCAGCCACCCCCCTCGGTCCTGAGCTGACTGGCTGTGGGGCAAAGCTGGACTGCTGGGAGCCAGAGCAGCCGAGGCTGCCCAGCAGGGAGTCCCCTGGGCCTCCCGCAGCGGTCTCAGCAGGCTGAAGGGGCCGGTGCCCAGGCCTGGGGCCGTGGGCTCCTGCCACCACCCTCAGCCTTCAGCTTCATCTCAGGGTCTGAGGGGCTGCGTCATTGTCCCCACCAGCAGCACAAAGGGGAGAAGGGAAGGGGCCAACCTGCTGCTGGCCTTGTGAGCGCGTGACCCTAAGGTCGCTCGTGCCACCTCTGCTTTCATGGCCTTGGCCAGCCCCTGGCCATGTGAGCACACCCAGCTGCGGAGGGGCGAGATCGTCCTGAACCGAAAGTTCTGTTGCTCTAGCACCGTGGTCTCCAGATCAGCAGTGTGAGCATCTCGTGGGGCCGGGCAAGCTGGGGGTGCAGGATGCCAGAGCCAGAAGCCTTTCTGGGGTGTCTGACTCCCAGGGAGCCAGAATCTCCCGTGTGGAGGGCTGTGCCTGCCTCGGACATCCCGTCCCAACCCTCCGGAGCTCTGCAGTGTCTCCACTGCCCTGCCTCTCAAGCCCCGCCCAGCCAAGGACGCTCAGACCTTGTTCCCAGCCCAGAGATCAGAACAGGAGACAAAAGGGAGTTGTGCCCTTCTCCCTCCTCCCAGCAGCAGGGCCCAGGGCTCGGGGGGTCTTCCAGGTGCTGCGAGAATCCAGGCTGAGGAAGGTCCTGGGCCTGAGCCTTGCTGGCACTCCTGGGCCCTCAGGAACGGGTCCCCAAGGATGTGGTGTCTCCAGGCCTTAGGCTCACCTCCTGCTGAGCAGCCCTCCCACCCTGGGGGTGCTGAACCAAGGCAGGAAAAGCTGCCCCAATCCTGCCTCAACTGAGGGGCCCCTTCCTGAGCGAGAGTGTCATGTGACCTGTGCCCCTGCTGGCCCGTGACATGGGCAGAGCAGCACCTCTGCAGGGCACAGTTCCCACTCTGTAAAACGAGGAGACCTGATTCTGGGATTTGGTCCCTCGAGGCAGTTCCAGTGAAGAAGGCAGGGAGCAAACGCAGTGACAGACAGGACAGGTTAGACGCGGCAGGTGCTATGGCTTGAAGCAGAGAAAGGGCAGGTGGTCCGAGAGAGCTGCTGTTTTCATGGGGCGGCCAGCAAATCTCCTAACGAGGTGACATCTGAGCAGAGATGGCGGAAGTGGGAGGGAAGAGGCGCACAGATACCGGAGGGAAGAGCACGTGCAAAGGCACTGTGCTGGGGGCTTGGCTGGCAGCCTGGAGGGACCGTAAGGAAGCAGTGAAGCCTGAGCAAGAGAGGGGAGGGGAGCATGGGGTGAGGTCAGAGGAGCCGTGGGGTGCTGAGGTGGTCCATCGACAGGGCCTTGCGGGCCAAGCGTGAATTCACTCAGGCCCTGCGGAGTTCTGCATGCAAGAACTACTGTCCTCATCGGACAGGTGGGGAAAGCAGCTCAAAGAAGTTGATGGTTTATGTGAAGCCACACAGCAGGGGGGAAGCCAGGTGTGCTGATGTCAGGTGGTTCTCCCTGAGCCACCACCCTGGGGACCGCCGTCTGGGGGCTTTTTCAGCACAGAGGTTTTCTGGTGCTGTGATCATGCCCCGGTTCCCACAGCTGGGCTTTGATTTCTTTCCCTGAGCATTCCAGGCCCTGACCCCAGCCACCCTGGACCCTCTGTGTGTGTGGATGGAGCTGCTGCCAGGATGGGGACGGGGGAGGGAGCCAGCTGCAGTGACTGCCTGACTCAGGCCCCGCCCCCTTCCAGAAACTTGTAAAATACAAAGATGGGCGGAGCAACGAGGAACCACCTTGGTGCAAAGTTGGGGCTATATAGCAGAGGCCATAGCCAGTGTCGGGGGAATGCAGAGCAGGTATCAGGGAGGGCTTCCAGAGGGAGGTGGGCCTTGAAGGAGATCCAGTGTTTCAACAGGCCGACACAGGAAGTGGGCAGTTGGGGAGGGGAAGGTGACTGTTAGCACAGGGCCATGGCCTCATCACAGAAAGTGTTTGTGACTGCCCACAGGTCTGCCCACCTCTAACACCAGGCACAACCCGAATGGGGGCGAGAGGAAGGACCCATCTTTCACCCAGCTCTCCAGCATGCCCATGGAGTCCCAGATCGAGGAGCTGACCACCAGGTGCCCGCCCTGTCCTCCTGAGGGTGGCGTTGTCCGGGTGGAGGTGCTCCAGTGAGCAGAAGGATCACCTCCCCCCCTTTTGACTTCTGTTTGCCCCGAGGCTGGTCCTGCTGAGCCGCGGGTGGTAGGCCTGTAATTCAGTGACTGGCCATCAGGAGGCAGAGTCTCAGCCATGACCCTGAAAACCCCAAAGTCCTAAGAGAAGTTTTATTAAGCTTGGGCTGCTGAACCCACTTTTCTCACTCAGCTAAACCTTTCAGAGTCCATGTAGTGATGGGGAAGGAGGGAGGGGAACCTCTACAAATTAGTAGCATCCTCGAGACAGCCAGCATTTGGAGAGCTACCTGGTGCCAGGCCCGGGGCTGTGGGCGATATTCCCCAGGGCTGTGGGAGGATGGGCGGGTCACAGAGCCCCGCTGACAGCCCCCGGGGCCCTCTGTGCGCGTGAGCACACACACACACACACACACACACACACACCAGCTCGCCCCCCACTGAGCCCTCTCTCCATGTCCAGGCTGGCCATCCAGGCGGAGGAGAATGAGATGCTGAGGGCTGCCCTGGGCAGCGCCCTGCGGGGAAAGGAGGAGGACTTCCGAGTGTACCACGAGACCCTGGACCAGGTGAAAGGGGTCTTCCTGAAGGCCCTCAGGCAGAAGAAGGCAGACAAGCGCTAGGACAGCAGCCCAATGTCACTCTGGCCAGACTGGGCGGCCAGCTCAGCCCCTGCTCCTGAAAAGGCTCCTCGAGGTGACAGATCCAACATTTCAGGCCAGGAGGGCGAAGTACAGGCCTGGAGGAGCCCTGGGCCGGCGTGGCCGCGGCAGAGGAGAGGCCCAGCAGCCTGCCCAGCCTCAGCGGGGGCTCTGGGACAACCAGCTGGCCTGGAACCGTACCCTCTCCCGGACAGGTGCTCATTCCCTTGTCCCAGGGCCCCGCTGGAGCCCTGCATGCCCACACGTCATGTGCACAGAAGAGCCCTTGAGCTTCGGGCTGGGATCATCCCCCAGGGCACCCAGCCCACCTGCCCCTCACCAGGGCACCCCTGTACCACCCCCATGGCTCCACCTGTGGGCATCCCCACCCTCTGCAGATCTGGGGGCACGATGCTCCCGGCCACCTTGTCGGGACACTCCTCAGGGCTCTTCCTTAGATGCAGACCCCAGACTTGTAATAATAATGATTATTTTCATAATCGCTGCAGCTCCCAATGAGTGAGGATCTACTATGGAAACCTGAGCCCGTCTAGTCCTCTCGTACCCCAGGGGACTGTCATTCTGTTTACACGTGGGAAACTGGCTCACAGAAAGAAGCTGAGTTAATATTTAACTCTGACCCGCCTAACTGCAAAAGCAGGGTCTCCTTCGAAGCAGAGTAGCCAGGGCAGGCACACCCCCCCCTATGCTGGGCAGCCCCCCCTCAAGCCAGCTGCTCCAAGAGGTGCCTCCATGTGCTTCCAGGGGCTGCTGGTGGATGAGGGCAGAGGTGAGGCTGGGCTGGAGCTTGGGCAGGAGTCCAGGTGAAGGCACGGTGCGCCGCCTTGGGGTGGGGGGCACTGCTGCAGGAGAGAGCCCAGGACCGCTCCCAGATACCTGGCCACACCTGTGCACACGCAGGCCCACACACACATGCAGATGCGTATGCATTCCCAGCCTCGGGAGCGCCAGCCACAGTGTCCGCGCGCACCCACACACAGGCCCAGCTGCACACTCAGGCTCTCCACACAGGAGGACCGTGTGACACAGGGAGTGGGCCGAACTCGGCATCAGAGCACCAGGCCCAGCAGTTGGGACCTTCACCTGCAGGCGAAGGGGAGAAGCAGGCAGAGACCAGCCATCCTCCTCCGGGATGGCGGATAAGCTGGGGTCCCCTCAGGGGAGTACAGGGTGGCCTGGCTCACACCCTGACCACTCAAGGCTCAGGGCTGAGTCTGAGAGAGGAAGGGCCATCAGTCACGGGGCCTGAACGGGTGGGGTGCATGGGGCAGTCCCCGTTCCCCGCTCGCTCTCCCCAGCCCTGTGGCCTTGGGCATGCTCCTTACCCCTCCCCCCCCAGCCTCCATTCGTGATCTGTGAGACGGGACAGTACCAGGGCCCTCCCTCCAGGGCTGCTGCAGGTGTCACAGAAGAACGCAGACATTTTGCTGATTCCTAGCTTGCTGTTTACCCCTGTACAAGGGACGTGTCCCCGCAGACGGGTTTCAGCCCACACTGATGAAGGAGGATCTCTGCGAGAGGGGGCGGTGCAGTCACACATAGTGAGCCCGTGCAGACGTTCTGGGGCAAACCCTTCAGCTGCATCTCCAGAGATCGGTCTGGGCGTTCAGTCCTTGCTTAGGCCGGAGGTGGGTGTGACTACTGGTTCAACTTACAGGTCTACAGGCAGCCTGGGGCTCTGCTGGGGAGCGGGCACCTGCCATCAGCACCCCAGCTGAGCACCGGTCTGCTCCAGCCCCCATCGGAGTCTCCCTGCAGGAGTCACTGAGTTCAACAGTGTCAAGTGCTAGAGGAGCAGCTGGCATTAGCACTACCCTGTGAGTTCAACAGACCAAACGGCTCCTCTGCCCCAGGCATGGGTCCTGGGTGAGGCAGACTCCATCCCTGAGCTCCAAGAAGTCCCAGGCCACCATCCGCTGAGCCGCCGGCCATCAGGGTCAGTGGGTGCCACTGACACCAGCCTCTCGGGCAGTCAGACTTGCTCCTACTCCGGGAGCTCCTGGTGCAGCCAGTGCAGCAGAGGGCCATGGTGGAGCCAGAGGGTGGGGGTGGGGGGAGTGCAAAGAGAAGGGGGCACCTCAGAGCCCCGCTGTCCCTGCTGCGGCTCCGGGCCCATTGCCCAGTTCAGGGGAGCCTGGGAGCAGGGTTTTTAAGGGAAGGGGGTTTGTAAAGGGGCCAAGGACTGGGCCCTGAGGGATCTCACCCAGGTGGGCTAAGTGGGGAGGGGCTGGCCGTCTGTCCAGGTTAATGGCCATGCCCCTCCTGGGCAGCATCCTTGGGACCCTGAGGAGAATGTTCCACAGCCCTCAGGCAAGTGGGCAGCAGGTGGGCAGGACTTGCCTTTCAGAGATGAGAACACCCTGCCCAGAGCCACTGCGTGGTAGGGGGAGGGGCAAGGACAATCAAAGAGGCCTCACGTGAGGCCTCTCCCTGGCTGTTCCCCGGCCTGGACGCTCAGGTTCCGGAACTGACAGGCGAGACCTGCTTGAGCCATGGGTGTGGCTTGGCCACTGTCCCTGTGGGGGCCTCTGGCACCGCAGCTGAGCTGGACAAGACTGCGGTGTGGCTCAGGCTGATGCAAGCCCCAGACACATTCCGCTGCACCGGGGTCCCTCCTCTGGGTCCCACATCCAGTGTCCAGAACAGGCTTCTCCTCCTTGTGTCCTCCCCCAGCCAGCCCACCGCCGCCCCACGAGGAAGCCTGCGACCCCTCTCCTCACGGGCCACCTCTCCGACAGCCCTGGGCCTCACACACACCACACACACACATGCACACCCAGCACATGCCGTAGACAACACGCAACACAAAACATATGCTCACAGACCCCACACACGGCCAACAACAAAGCAATTGTCCACACACAGGATATTTTCCCCACATTTGTACTTTGAACTGCAACGAAAACAAACCTAAGTGATGCAAAGGAACTGCCCGCCACACCTCTCCTTGTAGCGCTCAGGTCCCTGCGCTGGTCTAGCCCGTGGGCTTCCCCTCTTCCGTGGACTGGCCGTGCCAGCACTCCCTCCTCCCTGTCTCCTCCCTGTCTCCTCCCGCAACCCTCACACTGCGCCCCTGCACCTCCTGCCATCCCACATGCCAGGCCCCTGCAGGCCCACTGTGGGGGGCACCCCGAGCATCTGCTGTGTGTGAGTCCTGCTTCTCTGGGCCTCTCGAGTGAGGGGGTTTCGGCCTCTTTGAGCAATTCGGGGAGCCAAGCCCCTGTCATGGAGTGAGTTGTCAAACCCCTCAGGAACCCAGTGTGGTCAGGACCAGAAGTCTGCCCCTTGCAGGTGAGGCTCCGAGGCTCGGGAAAGTGGTCCCACCAGTGAGGAGCCGCTCAGGTCCAGTGTATTGGCTGGACCACCGTCTGCATCCCTGAACCAGGCTCGCCGAGCCTCTGAGGGCACCAGCCGGATGGCCGACCACGCTGGCCTCAGCCCGCACCTGGTGTGGGGAGCTGGGTCCCCATCCCTGCAGGGCCCTCAGCTCCAGGAGCTTATGGGGCTGCCTCACTGCTGACCTCCTGGAGCGTCAGTTCTCCTGTCAACGGGGGCTGATGGTAACGCCTTCCCTCCAGGCTGCGACATGAAAAAGAGTTAATCCGTGTACAGCCTTAGAACCATGCCTGGCTACTGTGATCAACACTCCTAACTCACATGGGCTGCCTCGGGACTCTGCTCAGGTGGCCTTCCACCCCGGGCCAGGCACCCTCCCTGATGCTGGCCTCCTCGAGTGCCCACGGTCCGCACTGCAGCCCTCGCCCAGCCCCGACGGCAATGATTGCTCTCCGCGCTTCTCAGGGTCAGGGACCAGCAATGCAGCCTCCAGTGCCGTGGGCAGTGTGCGCTGGGGTCTCCTGGCGTCTTCCTCTGGGCCAGCGTGTCTGCGTGCTTGGGAGAAAGCTCATTGCCTCGCTCCCCTTCCCAGGCCTTGCTCGGGGCCCTGGAACTGCCCCCGCGGGAGGTAGGGGGCAGCCCCTTCTTCCTCAGTTGTACCTGAGCCTATGGCTGGGGTTGGGATCAGCAGAGGCTCCAGGATCTGTGCTGTGATTACAGTCACAGCAACTTCTAACCCCAGACCCTAAGCCCTGGCCCCCGCGCACATACAGGGATAGTTCCCCCTAGACTCTGAGGCTCCTGTCCCAGTGCGGGACCATCGGAGGTACCTGTCTTCTCAGAGTGGCCCCTTCAGGTAGGCTGGCTGAGGCCTTGGCTGCACCTTCCCAGAGTGAGCCCCCCCCCCCGAAAAGTCCCAGTTGGTTAGAAACTTTGCCTCCACCCTGCCATGGAGAGGATGCCAGCCACTCCAAGTACCCACTCAAGCCTGGGCAAGTGACCCTACCAGCACCCCTCCACCTGGGCAGCTCTCCGTAGGACAGGGCTGGAGTATGGGGGACCCCGCAGCCACATGTCTCATGCCCGTTCCAATCCCACTGGGCACGTCAATCCTCCCCCACGCCTGAGGCCTGTCCAGCCAGGACTTTGGCATAGTGAAATGGACCAGGGCAGGGGGCTGGACGGTCTGCCTGGGTCACCCCTTGGGGTTCACTTGTAAAGATGCAGGCTGGAATTCATGGAGCTGAGTGTGCAAGAATGTGCCTGTGTGTGTATGTGCGTGCGTGTGTGTGTGTGCACGTGCATGTGTGTGTGTACGTGCGTGTGTGTGTGTGTGTGTGTGTGTGTGTGTCTGTGGTGGGAGCAGGGAGCACAGGTGGGGAACCAGCAGGGACCACCCGGAAGGCTTCCCGGAAGAGGAGAGTTCTAGCTGGCAGTGACAGGGAGGCACAGGCTCTATGAACAGGAGAGGCAGGTTAAGTGAGGCCCAGATGTCCCTGTCGGAGCCACTGGCCACCCCTTCCCACCCCCGTCAGCCACCCCCCCCCCGAGATCCTCCCTGCAGCTCCCTGTGGCCAGCAGCTCTGCGCTCTCGGCTCTGCTCCACTCCGCTCAGCTCCGCTCCA